ACCACCATGGATAATATCCCTCCCACCCCCATCCCCCCATCCCCCCGTCTCTGTGGCAGGGCAATCCCCTGTGTTCTCTCTCTCCTTTTGGGTGTTGTGGTCTGCAAAAGAGGCATTGAGTGGCAAACATGTTCAGTCCATAGTCTACTTTCGACATGCATCTCCCCTCCTGGGAGGATCCTCCAAACATCCTTTATTTGGTGCTCCCTTCTCTATCCGAACAGCCCTTTCCTCTAGGATACCCGGCTGGCCTCTAAGTTATGGAGTAATCCTCCTGGTGCGATCAGCACAACTCTTAAGCTACGTGAAATGAGTTAGCAAATTGACACAAAAACTAGATCAATCTACATAAATACCAACCCCACAGTCAAATAGGCAAAAGCTCTGCAGGAAAGGATGAAGGGGCAGCACTAAGATAGGTTAGTGACAGACAGAAATCCATGCAGCAGAAACATAACTCCACTCCAAGGCAACAAGCTGTGACCTGGGAGAAATTTCTAAGGTATAGAATTTTATCTTGAGGAACAGAGGCTGTTGCACAGAATGAATATTATCCCAACTGTTATTCCAAACATCTTATCCTATACATTCAGCATGGGGTCAGGAGAAAAGAAACTTAGGGTATTGGTATTAATTATGACAACTTTTCATAACCTCACACAAGCTAAACAGTAGAATCTAAAGGTAAGTGGTGGGGGGGGGGGGGTAGAGCATCACTTTAATCCTCATCAATTTACCAAGAGAACCACAGGACAAATTCCACAGAACTTTACCCACCCTGGCAAATATCTCAGTAGAGAGACAATCATCCATGGCTTCAACAAATAGACCTGGCTCTGCTAGTCTCCCTTCAGTATTAGCAAGAAAACATCCTACAGATTTTCCTAGCATAGTGTTAACCACTTTCTCCACTGCCAGAGGTGTCACTCTTCAAACGCATGCCTAACCAGCCCTGTACTCATCAGCCTGGGAATATATTCTTTGCCACAGCTGGAGTTAAGGTCAAGTATCCATTTAAACATGCCCCAGCAAAGAATATCTGGCTGCATCAGGTCTTTGTCTATGGTAAAGTTTAGCAGATATTGAATATTGGGATCTAGAAATTGCATTTTCTAGTTTCTGTTTTTTCTAGAACACACAAGTTCTACCGTAAACTCATGACTATGACTCCAGCAACAAAAAGCAAACAAACATGTACTGGAGCTCTCATAAAATGATCATTTTTTTGCAAAAGAAATTGTTTAAACCAGAAGGAAGTATCATAATATATACAAAGTTCTGAATGGAAAATACCTCCAACCAATAATGTTGCACAAAGGTGGGTTGTCACTGAGATTTGAATGTGAAAAAGAATTTTCATTGAATGGGAAATAAAGGTCCATTTAATGGATATTGTAAGTTATGCTTAAGGGATTTCTATGAAAAAGTCAGAATGTAGAAGGTGATGGAAGAAGAATGGGAGAGGGATGGAACAAAGAGGAATGGAAGAGGTGTAGAAAAAGTTAGGGGAGAGCAATATGTGGGAAAGGAATATTGGTAATTTGTTGGTGGTTGTGATGTGGTAATACATTTTGAAGAGGTGTGGAATGGTACACCTAACACACACGCACTTATGCAAACAAACGAGGATGATAGCATAACCTTTTCTTGAATCCCCCTGTGTACAAACACCTCTCTCCCTATGTAATTAGCATTTTAAAATTCATACTGCACAGGAGAGATTGTAGAAGGTAGGTAGGGCACTTCCTTTGCATGGGGCTGACCCAGATTCAGTCCCTAGAACCCCATTTAGTCCCCAGATTCTGCCACGAGTGATCCCTGAGTGATGAGCTAAAAATAAGCCCTGAGCACTGCAGGGCATGACTCCAAAATAAGTGAATAAATAAAGTGTATACTGGACAATACATAATTCAAGAAGTGAACTGAATGATGAGAGCGATCATGAACTCATTTATTAGATGAATTGTTGACATTTTGCATGACTCCCTCATAGATGTATTCATATTCCTGCTTTACAAATGATATATTGGGCTGGAGAGATAGTACTGAGCTAGGGTGCTTGCCGTGCATATGATCCCAAGATCCGTATGATCCCTGAAGCTCTGCCAAGAGTGACTCTAAGCACATAAACAGCCCACAAACACCACAAACAAGTATGTTTCTTAAATCCTCCTCTCTCTCGCACACACACACACACACACAAAATTAAGATAACTGTATGAACTCTATGTCTCCATATCTATACGAAACAAGGTATACAGGTCAGTACACAACCACATTAAAAATCAACAGCATTGTATCAAACTTATGGGAGTGGGTGGAGAGATCATATAGTGAGTAAAGTAAAATTCATGAGTATGACTCCAGCAATTAAAAAAACAAACATATATTGGGCTCTCATACAATGAACAGATTTTGCAAAAGAAATTGTATAAAACAGAAGGAAGTATCATGATATATGCAAAGTTCTGAATGGAAAATACCTCCAACCAATAATGTTGGACAAAGGTTGTTGTATTAAATTTAGGGTAGTGGGTGGTCAGATACATAGTGAGGTAAGCACTCAGCCTTGCACATGGTCAGCGTGGTTCAGGAACTGTCTCCACATAGGGTCCCGTGAATTTTACCAGGTGATATCCTGTAAAATCTTTGCACGCCGAAGGTTGTGTGTTCATGGGCTCACTGGATGGCTCTTTCTCACCGCCTGCATTCAGTGTTCTTGAGGTCTGTGTGTGGCCTGGATCAGGAGAGCTGTTCTTTCTCTCAAACTTGAGCCCCTCTCACTCTGACTCTCCATTCCCAGAGCTTACAGTCTTAGTTTTATATAGCAATCACGTAAGGCGGTGACATAAAGGTGGGTTGAATATTGACAAATCAACAAAGAGAGGTAAGACCACTCCTCCAGGAGATTAACTCAAGGATAAAATCTCATCTACAGAGATTACTCCAGATTATTAGGAGATCCGCTCAAGGGTCAAATCCCAACAAGGGTGTGTTCTTCCCTCAGTTATTAATCTACTTAAATAGTTATAATAAATCTACTTCTAATATTTCTAGCAATGTCATTCCGTATGAGCACAGTAAGAGATATAAACTTAGTTTGGTTCTTCCTGAGAACATCTCACTATACGTTCCGCAGTCCTCAGGCCAGGTTAATTTTCCTAGCTCCAGCAGGGTCCTAGTCTCATCGTTACTTACTTTTAGATCATGACAGCATTTGTCCATGATCATGCACTCAACTTATAGTTGAGTATTGTGGCGCTTTGGCTTGGCCCATTTCGATGCCAGGGTAGCTCACAGCTTTCCCTGGGTCCATTCAGTCCCTTGTCGGGACCCTGTTTTGGGGGTGCTAGGAACTAAGGACAACTGAGTAAAGAAAGCAGATGCCCAGGAGTAAATATTATTCGGAGTCAATCAACTCCCAAGTTACAAAGCATAATATTAACTGTCTTCCTGTGTCAATACAGAAAGGACATTGTTTATAATACAAGTTCAGTGTCCTTAGATGGGTATGACCCGATAAACCTAAGCTACCTGAGGAAGGACAAAACAGTGTTATCCTACAATATCCCTGAGCATAGTGCCAGGAGAAAATGCTTGAACACCACCAAGTGTGGCCCCTTCCCCACACTCCACAGAGGACACCATATTTTTTCTTTTAAATTAAACTGGAAAAGTTATTTTATTCATATTAGTTTAACGAACAATTGGAATTAGGTACTGAGTAACAGTTTCAAATCTTTCTAAGTGGGATGTGTGGGTATGTGTAGATTGATAAAGTCCAATTAATTGCCGTGTACGTGATCTACATAGCAGATCTGGCATTTTGGACCTGATGGAGTCTAGAATCACTGATCTAGGGGTCACTGTAACCATGTATGTGTGTATGTGTGTGTCTGTGTGTGTGTTGTAGCACTGAAGTACTGTCCTGTTGTTCATCGATTTGCTCAAGCAGGCACCAGTAACGTCTCCATTGTGAGACTCATTGTTACTGTTTTTGGCATATTGAATACACCACAGGGAGCTTGCCAGGCTCTGCTATTTGGGTGAGATACACTCGGTAGCTTGCTGGGCTCTCCAAGAGGAGCAGTGGAATTGAACCTGGGTCGGCCGCATGCAAGGCAAATGCCCTACCCACCATGCTATCACTCCAGCCCATGTGTATATTATATATATGTGTGTGTATATATATATATGTATACACACAGCACTATAGAATGTCTTCTAATTTCAAAGAGGATTTTGACAGGTTGTTCCTTTTATGTTTCAGATCACATAGCTTATATATATGTATATATTCTAATTTCTGGTATGCCATATCTGGACTACAATTCTTAGGATTTAACAATAAACATAGGGACCAGAGAGAGTTTAAAAGTAAAGGTGCATGGCTTGTATGTTACTGACCCCAGTTTAATCTCCTGTACAACAAAGTCTTTAAGCATCACCAGGCGCAGCTCTGAAGGCACTCAAGCACTGATTGATAGATTCCTACAGGACCCAAGTACAACTGGGATCCTCTGGGCAATATATGGCACTGCTCTGCCTGGCCAACACTGCATCCCTAGATCTTTGCATTGAATTGCAGGCTCAGTTGGTCTAAGACAAATCACTGGTAATAAAACAGAGCCAAATAGGTATATTTGGTATACATATTCTCCTGTATAGGTATGGCAGTCTTATTTCTCATGAATCTTAGACCTACCAGTAGGTGCAGTGTCCCAGTGCAAGCAGGATGAATTCATACAGGCTTAGAAAAAAATGTATCTACCACTTTCAGTGAGAAGGATATTAGATTTTGCTAAAAGTGGTGTTTAAAATGAAATAAAAAGACCTTTCCCTTCTTCTGAAATTACTTTAGCCACAAATTCCACATGTTCCCAAACACAACTGTTAAATTCTAGAACCCCCAAATTCCTCCTATTTTAAAACCATACTGAAGAACACTTTTTAGACATTTTACTGGGGGGAAAAAAGACATAATTTAGCCCATATTAGAAAATCAAAGTAAGTTTATTCGTCCACAAAGTATTTTTAAAAAGCATTAAATTGTTTTTATTAGGCTGCTAACATAAGCATTTCGAAAGATTTAAAGTATATAACACCAATAGTAATGAGATATCACATTTTAAAGAATCCTATGTATTAGCTTTTAAAATACTTTCAGAATAAAACCGATTACATATTTATATATGCAGATATACTATGTATAAATTACATATAGTTCTTTTAAAAAGTAGTATGCTATAGTTAACAGCAAGCTTTATTATATTTTAGGATATCATATAATAAACCTGCCAAGCTTTTAAAATTACTTTGGGGAGGAGAGCACATCCTCAAGAAATGGTAGACAAGAAGAAAATAAATAATAAATTTATCTTAGAACTAGACGCATGTTAGGTAATTGGTTCAACAACTCTTCAAGATAAATAAATAGTGCCACTTTTATAAATAAAACAGACTACTCATGTGAAATGACTCACCTAGGGTCACATAGCAAGGAAGTTTCATCTATTCTCTCATTTTTTTCCTATAAAGACAGAACTCAAAGCTGATTTCCTGTACAATCATAAGACATTCAAGTGCAAGATAGTTTACTTGGAAATCTTATTCCAAGATATATATGCGAAATTTTAATGCACAACCACTGCATTTAGCTTCTTGACTTTCATTTCCATTAGAGGATCAAATCTTCTACATTAAGAAACAACATAAAGTAAACCTCAATATAAATAAATTGCTGGACTAGCTAAGTGTCATATATCAAGCTCAGTGTAAATTACTCATTGTATCAAAAGCCATGTTTTCAAAGAAAAGGGGTAAGAAGTAAGTAGAAAATAATTCAAGGCTGGTATAATTCTACTAATAGCATTTTGGGTTTCCTGTCTCCATATCTGTTTCTGAAGTGCTGAAATAAGTTATTTCCAGGCTGTAAGTCAGAGATGTCTTATTTGTATAGGCTCCAACTCTATGGGGATACCTGGGACAGAAAGGACATAGAGGTTTAGTCTGTAGGACAAGTTGGTTCTAAAATGTTGGGGCTGAGCACATGATGATGAAATGCATGTGAACTAAATCAAGAAGTAAGCTCTACGTAAATCTTAGTCTCATCCATGAACCAAGTTGTTGGGGCCAGAGTGAGGGCCTTTGGTTGACTAAAAGATATTTTCAATTGCATCTGCATTGTCTTATGCTTCTGGATATGAGAAATTTTGGAGGATGGAGTGCAAAATAAGTTCTAACAAACTGGTTTACAATACTGGGATGAAATCAATCACGAGTCTTTCTCTGGAACATAAATGATATTAACCTTAATGAATCCATTAGTTAGAGAGAGTACAATAATGTAGTAAAATGAATAATCTGATCTTCAATTTTCTGCTACATTATGCTTTTATGTAACAGAAATATGGGAAAATGTCACGACCAATGAATGCTTAGATGCATTGAACAACAATGAATAAAATAAACATGTCACCTGGTTGGAGTAATTTTATTTCAATTACTGTTGCAATGTAATAATTAGGTACAATTATTTTGGATTATGCTTAAAACCGTCTGGAGAACCTTTTCTTTTGCAGGACTGGCATCCACCACATGGCAGTCGGGGTTTTCCATCCGCCGGTAGGACAGTTCTACCCTGGGGACAGGCAAAATAAAGAAAATTTGAGCATTTTAACCTAGTTCTTCATGCAAATTTTATTTTCCTACAACAATATAAACATCATGAAGCAGCATTTCCATTTGGTCTATCTTCCTGCTTCCTTTGGCAGATAGCTTTGCCCTCAAGAGACATTTAATACACTTTTTAATAAATGGTAAAGGTAAAAGGTAAAGGCCCTCCCGTTGATCGTCGATTTGCTTTTTAATAAATGATAAACTAGAAATAATGTGTAAGTGCTAGCATTTATTGAATACCTGTTATGTGCCAAGCATTAACATTTCACATTATTCCTCTCTTTTATATTGAGAAAAACTTAGGAGGGGAGACATTTCCAGCCCAGTTTTGCAGAAAAAAAATGTAGCCAAACACCCCCATTCCACCCACCCACCCCCATCAAAAAAAGCACCTACTGGAGAATGTCTCTTTTTCTAAAGCAATATTTTTCAATCTTTTTCTGACTATAACCTGATTCCAACTTTGTTTCCTTCCTGTGCTCTTCAATCCTTCCCTACTGTTTGACCTACTAGCTTCATGCCCTGACATCACATTTATGTGATTTTTCACCGGTGGTCCTTTTGGAATATTCTGGGACCGATATTGTTGATTTTTTTTCCCAGGTGATAAATACTTCTCTATAAGGATTTCATATAAGATAGAGGTCCTTAAATTGCTTTCACTTAAGGTTCTTGTAAAATTTCACCAGAAGTCAACCTTTCTTTTATTTTTAATTTTTATTGAAATTGACAATGAATATCTCACATTCCCTAAAGGTGAAGTGTACAATGTTATACGTTAACTTTTGTAGTTAACATGGTATGTTCACCACCAAGAGTCCAGTCTCCATGGATCTCCTTGTAGGGTTATCTAACAATGACATAGACATAATGTCTGATGTTCGTTACAGAATGAACACACTGTTATACTGAGGTCAAAATAGAAGACTGGGGTAGTTGAGCAAGGCCCACATCTATGCTTTTCACTTACTAAGTGAACTCAAATCTTTCCCTTCTAAGATTAGGTTTTTCCATCTTCAAAATAAAGATTTCCTTCCTTGCGAGTCTTGTTAAAGAGATTTAACTGAATTAATACCAGTAAATCATACACACAGGACAGATGCCCTATAATTATTTACTTTCTAATATTCAGACATGGTAACAGTAACATCATTATTTATGGAACATATTCTATTTTGTTTTTTAAATCAGTGTTGTAGTACTGATTCACATCCAACTGTGTGAAGCAGACTGCCTAGGCCCTCCTGTTATTGTATATTTTTTTCAAAAACAAAGTCATTGCTTCTAAACCAGGAAGATCCTGAGTTTAAGCCCAGATGTACTATTTAGCATATCACTTAATCCTTTGAACCTCATTTTTCATACCTAAGAAATACGGCTAATGCTGTCATAGAATTAACAGTGCTAATATAGTATAAATTCATCAGACAGTGTTCTGTGCACCTTACATCAAAGGGACAAACCCAAACTATTTCTGGCATAGTCACACCAGAATCAAGATCTGATCAGGAGCACAGTGAATCCCAACCCCCATCCTCTGCCACCTTTTTATAGAAACATTGCGGCAACCCTATGGTACAATCCCATCATGGAACTGAGCTAACCGAAGGATGCTGCTTCTCTGATTTGCAAAATAGGAAGAAGCCATTTTCTCCACATTCCTAAAGTCATCATCAATTCTAATATTTGCCAGTCACCTTTGCTATGGCCCTAACCACTCAGGTCACATTTGGGATACATACTTTTGCCGAAATACACTATTGGTCTCCAGTTCAGTTTCCTCTCTGGTCTTCTCCATGCCCCGGCCCTTTAGCCTCTGCAATCGCTCCTCTGGACTCAAAGTGAGCAATAGCACCAGGTCAGGTTTAAGCAGGTCTCTGGGCCATTGGTATATTGAGTGATGGGCTGGAGGCAGGTGCTGGATACCTCCACTCACCTCGGTGGCGATGGCATAAGTGGCTGTACTATGCCAGTACCTGAGAAGAATAGAAATGAGTTCTCCATCAATAGACGAATTCCAAAGTAGCAGCTGAGCAACAAGTACAGAAGACTCAACATTAGGGCTGGTTCTGCTAAAGCTTTCTTAGTATGGAACAAATTACATAAACAATGGCTAGAGTGATAGTGCAGAGGATTCCATACCCAGCACCATGCATAGTTCTCCAAGCTTCACCAGGAGTGATCCCTGAGTGCAGAGCCAAGAATTATCCCTGAGTACCACAAGGTATGGCCCCCAAATAAACTACTTAAATAAAATCTTATTGAATAAAATACTTAAATTTTTTTTAAAAAATCAACAAATCAACAACCATGGTATGAATGCAGCGCACCCTTCATGAAACTTTTTATCTTGAGATTATAGTGTCACGTCATCTTGCCTATACAGTACCTTTTCTATTTTTGTTTGTTTGCTTGTTTTTACTCTTGTTTTGTTTTGGAGGCATATACTGAAGTGCCCATGGTTTACTCCTGTTTCTGGGATCAGGGAATACTCCTGACAATGCTCAGGGGACCATACAAGGTCTGGAGAACCATGATCAGTCACATGAAGGGCAAATGTTTAACTTTATACTGTCTCTCTGGCCCCAGTATCCACTTATCCACATATACATACAAAGATGTTGACAGAAATGATAGATGAGTTTATTTATAAGCTATAGGTATGGTTTATTTATATTTAACGCTGTGTTTGAGTCCAAAATTTTCTCCAAACCTAATCAATTATCACATGCTTCAAAACTGAACTTGCTAACATTCTAGGAACTCTGGTAAGGAGGCCTCCTTGTTTATGCCAACTCTTCCATCCTCTAATTGTGCTTGGTGATCATGCCAGAGAACAGTAAAATCCATACCTTACTGAAGCAATTCTTAAAGGTCTTCCTGAGCAAATTTATTAGTCTTGACATGGAATATTGTTCTCGGAGAACTGAAATACATTCCTTCCTCTCTCTATAACTCCTCCCTCTAACTTCTCCTCAAGTTCGAGTGAGATTTCTACCTGAAAAACTCCACTTCCTCCTTCAAATTTAAATTCCTATGAATCCCTGGGAAAATTCACAGTTCACACCTCTATACCCTCCATGTTTATCATAGTTATTCTATAGTTTATAACTAAACTCTAGCTAACATATTTACTCTCTTTGTCTCCTCCATTATATATCAAATTATATATCTAATTAATTTTAGTCATCTCTGTATTCCAAATCCTGGAGACACTAATAACACATAAAAGGTAAGCCTATTCTATATGTATATGAATATATGAATTAGATTTTCTTTCTCATACTCTTTCTCTGTTCATACAAATTTCAGGTGTCTAAACACAAAACTTCAAATCTAAAATAAAAGAACTGAAGTCTACAACAAATATTTACAACACCACTTGCAATGTTCCAAAGTTACAAGGTACACATGGTCTGTATTTTCAATGTAGTGTCTTAAATGCTTTAAAATATTAAAATTCATCATTTAGACTTCAACCTATATTTTATAATTACAAGGTTATGCCGATATTTTTAAAAATAAATTCATAGTGCTTTCTGGCCTTGTTTCATTTTTGCCATATACTTGCTCTGTAGACTTTTGTAAGTTATTTAATTCAGTAGTGTTTCAATTCCTTTATCTGGAAAATAAAAATCAAACAAGCCTCCTTTCCTTTCCATAGTTTAAAAAAATCCACAAGTGCTTAAAAATCTGTTTTACATATGCCTTATAAGACAATCTTTAATTCTTGTTAAACATTGATAATAACTAAACAAACCTACATTATTTCAAATTATGATAACACGATATAGACAGTACTGAAAAGGACAAGTGTCAGAAATTATTTTGGGAGTTGGTCAATTCTGACATCACAGCTCCTTCAAATTTCTTATCTACTCTAAAAGTGGGCTGGAAACTACAGGTCAGCTCTGGGTGAGTTTCTTGAATTAAGCTTGGAATCACCCCTATGATGTATCACTATTCACCCATCACTTATAAGCTTGAATTTTTACCCTCTCTCTCAGATGTTTCTTGTCACTTAAGCTCAATAAATGTATGTGGGGTCCAGATTTTTATTTTCCTAGTAGTCAGTTTTCACTGCCTTTCTAAGTGTTCCCTGTTCACAGCAGAGACTGATCTCATCTTAATTTTAAAAAATTTTTCCCATTGTATAAGAACCATCAGCAAGAATAGACTTTTAGAGGTAATGAGGGTGATTAAGCTGCCAAACTCAACCATAGTTACCATCAAAAATTACTGTCTCCTTATTTTTCGCAGCTAGATGATGGTGTTGTCTAAAATGGATTTCATTAAAATCTTTAAACATGAACAAAAACCACCCAGACAACAAATAACCCCTCTTTCTCTTTATCTGACGAGGTGATAGTGTCTCTTTATAGAATAAAATTGCAGACAATTCACAGACACAAAGAAGAAAAATCAAGGGAAGAATTAGGGCCCTATTTTCTATAGAGTTCTCATTGACAACACTGTGACTCATTTTAAATAATCATACCCGCTGACCATCAATTTCAGACTCTTTCCACTACTTAGTACTCTCCAATCCTGCCATCAAGGAAACCACATTAGTCCAAATCAAATGCAATTCTCCCAATACATTATACACAGCTTATATAATAATGCTTTATATTTTAACAGTCATTTGCTATTCAAAGAATTTCTACTTGCTTCAACTCATTGGATATTCATCACAAATCTTGCTGGCAGGAAGAGCAAGAAAAGTGAATACCCCCATTTAACAGACCAAAACTCTGGAAAAGATAAGCTAGGGCTGCTGCAGGATTTCTGAACGTCTTAGGAAATAAAGTGCTTTATGATATTACACTCGATTAGGAAACTGAGTTTATTCTTTTTTTGAAATAAAGGAACTGAATTCAAAAAATATAGACACCTCAATAGCTGGGCAAAGCATCCCAGAGGGTAAGTACCATGAAGTAATTTTATTTCTCATCCTTCTTTAGGATTCCTCATAACTTGCCAATTTTGAAATTACTATGCTGCCATCCCTAAAAATAAAATAACTTGTAGGTATTATAGTTTAGATGAAAGTCACAGCCTTCTAATGACTTTCTAATGTTTTTATCTTTCCCACTGCCCCCACCCCCAGTGACAACAACCATTTTACTCTCTATTAAAAGCAGAATGAGCTCTTTGAGGGATACTTCAGACAGATATGAAAGAATCCCAGATAGAGGGTATTTAAAACATAAAGGCATTTCAAGAAAGGAATAGATGTTGTTTCCAGATAATAGGAAACTAGTTTTTATCAGTTACTTGCAAAATAGCAAACTAACTGACCACCTTGACGACAGGGAGTAAGCAGAAAAAGAAAACACTAGATCAGGTAAAGTTAAAGGCTAGTAATGCGAAATGTTGCCTAGGACATGGATATAAGAACTCTTCAAACATCATTGGGGCATTGTGCGTGTGGTGTGTTTGCAATACTCAAGGCTGAACAGATGTGAGATGCATATTTTCCTGCGACTACTCCTTGAAAATTAAGGCAACAAAAATGCATCCATACTTATATCAGAGTTAAAACAAGGAGATATTCATGCAACAAAAACTAAATCTCAAAAACACAATGTAATATAAAGTAATTTAGAAATTTAGAAATTTAGAAATAAATCGCACTTAATACTTAACTGCATATATAGGAGGTGAAGAACAGGAAGAACTAAAAACTGGTGACCACTGGGTAAAGAATTAGTAAAGCCTTGGAATGAAGAGATTGATTTTCTAGGCTCAGTTAAATTCTAAGTTTTCATCTGAAGCAGGTCAAACTTGGCTCCCTTTTGAAATTCCTTCAGATTTATATCTACAAATTATGTTCTTTTCTGAGTATCTGTCATATTTCAAGATAACTACTTGCCTTTCTTAAAACATAACATTACAAAATGGACAATAAAACAGACATTTAGAGTTTTTTTTTATATCCACTTGCAAAAAATAGACAACAGGCACTATTGATCAATGGCCTTTCTCTCATCCCAAAGCAAAATAATCTCCTAAATGTGGACTTCAATATCCTCTCATCCATCCTCTGTACTCAGCAGCATGGATTCTACTCAATGTCTTTCTAAAGCCTTTTTCATTCAAAATAGTAGATTCATCAAAGATTCACATTGATGCATTGTGCTAGCTTGTACAATGGGTTGCTGCTTCATTTACAAAATATGACTGGATTTATTTTCCCTTTCTTCTGTTGATGACATTTTAGGTTTACAATTTTTTTCAATACTGGAAACAAAGATAAACCTCTTATTTTTTTCTTAAGTACAATATTTCTTCAGTATTTCTTCATTCCATGAAGAAAATCTGTTTCTTTAGTACAATGTGTAGCAATCTTCCACCTTGCTACAGGTTCACTGATTGCCTAGCACCAAGGAAAGAGTTTCTATTCATCCTTAGAATCTCCAACTCTGGGTATTAAGGACATTTAAATTAGTTTTCACCAACCTGATGAGCAATACAACATCACATTCTGATTGTAATTCCACATCAAAAAGTCATGGCGATGATCACCAACCCTTTTGACTTGCTGGCCAAAATGTTCCCCTACTGTTGTGGTACTTTCATGTATTTCCGATATGTGGAACTTAAAGAATATAAATCAGTTTATGTCACTGTATTTCCCAAAACATTCAATGGCTCCCCACTGAGCTCAGAATAATATCTGTGCTTTTTCTACTGCAGCAGGATCTACATCTCAGTCCTGGGCTTCAAACCAGAAGCACCCCCTTATCTGCCAGGTTTTTCATCAACAAATCAATCAGGTCTGTTTTCAGGTTCTTGAGCATATTAATTTCTTTCTATCTCTAGTTTCCTGTTGCTGAGCCCTCTCTTTATAATGGTGTTAATGTAATTTTTATGTCTGTCTCATTTTGCCATCCAGAACTCCAATCAACGGTACCTCCTTAAATAAGTATTCTAAACCAATAGAATGAGAGCTTGATTTATTAGCTTCATAATATTTTTTCTTTCTCTGATATCATCTGATTGATATACTTCATTATCCTCTTCTTCAATATTATGTTTAACCTGTAAAAGCAGACCACTGAATCCCCTAAATTGGAAAGTCTTAATCACATAGTAGATAGTCAATAAATGTATATTGATTAAGCTAATGAATAAATGAACCACTGAAAGCATCAATTTGAAGCAGCGGCTTTTACTCATATACCCAGTATACCATATTTAGGTCAGTCTCGCTGACAAGTTAGTTCATCTTCCTAAAGACTTATGTTTCTCATTAGTAATTTTGAGCTAACATTAGTATCCACCAAACCCAGTGGATATTTCAAATATTAAGATAATGTATTCAATGCTCTTAGTAAAATGCCAGCGTAGGTAATTAAGAAACCACAGACACATTACTCTCATGCTAATCATAGTACAGTATGACTTAATAAACACACTTATGTATTTGCAAATAAGTACCACACATAAATATGCACACATTAGTATATTAGGAATAAAATGCCAAACTCAAGACACTTATATACCAACCTGTCTATAATCACAGGAGATTTGGTAGACTCTTTAGCAATTTCAGAAGCCACAATATAATTGCCCAATGAGTAAAAAGCTCTTCTAATGATGGTGGGCTCATCATCGAAGATTTCCCTCCACTGGCCAATGCAAGCAGGTGGTGACTTTAAGAGAACAGCCTTGAGTGAATCTGAAACCGACTGGGTTACAGTAGTTTTACCTACAGGTTATAAACAAAAGGCAACACATCTTAACACAGCAGTCAATTTGCTCCCAAAAGTTACTGATGAAAAAACAAAACAGTATTCTTTATTCTTTCCTTTTGTGAACTGAAGGAATTCATTAAATTATATGATTCTTTTTCATTTTCTTAAAGAAAAATAAAAGCCATAAAACTCGGGATTTTTAGATACTTCTATCTGGGATCAGAACAACTGGAAGAAAAACAAGGATTCTCTTTGTCTTAAAATTAATGATTAACTTTGTTATCTGACCTCCATGCTCTGAGACTCTGGGATAAGTTTTGCCTCATTTCTCATGATGCACTTCAGCTAACTTAGAAAAATAAACTACTGAACCACGTGATGCTCTCTGTAGTCTGGGACCAATCTTGTCCTTAGATCTCACTTGCAGTCCTCAGAGCTGTGCATTGTCTACAGTGTGTCTTGGCTATGATTGGGCATTTTCCTGGTATGTTGTCCTCTATTTGGCAGTCACTCCACTCAAAACTGGCTCAAGCCTCCACACTTTGTCCATTGCTGCCTCCTCTATCATGTGAATTTACCCGACATTCCCATGTGAATTTACCCGACATTCCTCACTTGACTAGCTCCTGTCCTGTACTGGACACTTAAGTCAGGACTTAACTCTTTCAAAATTGCACCTGACCCTAACCCCAGCACCTTGGTCTCTCTAGCACAGGTTTATGCAATACCTGTATTCACCAAAGTGCTGGGGACAATTTTCCTTAAAAGTGTTTCCCAACTATTGTATCTTGGAAAGCTTAGTAGCCTTTTCTCTAAGCCAGGCCTTTGTTTCAGGTTTCCCTGAGGCCAGCTAGCACCAGACCTGGGGCCCAGGACCTTAGGCCCAATAGACAACCATGGGCTCTGTGTCAAAGCAGCAGTGAGTGGACTCCTGACTGCGGCGCCCATCTCATCTTAATTCCAGGTCAGCACAGCTGCCGGCTCGCACCTCCATCTTTCCCTGCAGGACCCCAGGTGTCCCCCAAGATGCCTGAAGATAAGCAGTTTTGAGCGTCTGCCCTGCCCTCTTCACTCCTGACCGCGGCGCCCATCTTATCCCAAACCCAGGGTTCTGTAGAGGCGTGGCCTTCTCAAAAGTGGGCGTGGCCTCAAAGTGGGCATGGCTTAATTTCCGGCGGGAGAAGGCTCACACGGCCGCAGGTTGTTTTCCCATACTAAGGAACCTAGTCCCCAAGGAATCTAGTTCCCAACCTACTCAGCAATATGAAGAAACAAAGAAAATCTCCAACACAAGGGGAGAACAACGAAAAGAATCTAGACCATTCTGTCAATACAGCTCACCTAAGGGACCTCTCTGACATAGAATTCAGATACGAAGTCATCAAGATGTTCAATCAACTCAATGAAACAGTCAGACACACAGCCAGTAACACCACAGAAAAAATAGACAAATTACGAGAAGAAATGAGGGCAGAAATGTCACGATTAAAAGATTCCATAGATGAAATGAGAAACTCAGTTTCTTCTCTTAAAAATAGAATGACCACAGCTGAAGAGAGAATCAGTGACCTGGAAGATCAGCTGCAACAAGCCAACACGCAACAACAAACAGTGGCAAGGGACCTCAAAATGGCTCTACAGAGAATCAGAGTCCTAGCAGATGATTCCAAGAGGAACAATATTAGAATCATGGGACTACCTGAACCTCAGGGAAACAATCCCAACGAAAAAAACACCGTCAAACAAATCATTGCTGAAAACTTCCCAGAGCTGCACAATGCAGCCATTCAGGTTCAAGGAGCCCGAAGGGTGCCAGCTAAAAGAGACCCCAACAAAAACACTCCAAGACATATCATAGTTAGAATGATCGATACTGCTGATAGAGACACAATACTGCAAGCAGTAAGAGCAAAGAAGGAAATCACATACAAAGGAGCATCCCTTAGATTCACAGCAGACCTATCAGAGGAAACCCTAAAAGCCCGAAGGCAGTGACGAGATATAGTAAAAAAACCTCACGGAAATGAATGCTTCCCCAAGAATACTCTACCCGGCTAAACTCTCCCTCAAAATCGAAGGAACAGTACACTATTTTATAGATAAACAGCAGCTCAGGAACTTCATAGACTCAAAACCAAACCTAAAGCAAGGCCTAAAGGGGCTACTATAAGAAAAGACAAACCCTACAACCACAACACACCCGCACAGAAAGATGACACAAAACCCCATAACCATTCTCTCTCTCAATGTCAACGGTCTAAATTCACCAGTTAAGAGACACAGAGTGGCAAAATGGATACAGAGACAGAACACAACATTCTGCTGCCTACAAGAAACTCACCTCAACAGCCATAGCAAACACAGACTCAAAGTCAAAGGATGGAAAACAATCCTGCAAGCACACAACTCCCTCAAAAAAGCTGGGGTGGCCATACTAGTATCCGACAACGTTAATTTCACCTTGAAAAAGATTAGAAGGGACAGTGAAGGCTATTTTCTCTTCATCAAGGGATACGTACAACAGGAAGAAATCACACTCTTAAATGTATACGCACCTAATGAGGAACAGCTAAATATTTAAAACAACTACTAACAGATTTTAAGGAGGACATCACTACCAACACAATAGTACTTGGAGACTTCAACATCGCCTTATCACCTCTGGATAGATCAACAAGAACAAAACCCAGCAAGGAATTATTGGCTTTGAAAGAAGTAATAGAGGAGAAAGGGCTTATGGACTTATACAGGGCTTTACACCCCAAAAAGAAAGAATACACATTCTTCTCCAGCGCGCACGAAACATTTTTCAAAATAGACCATGTGCTAGGACACAAAACATACCTCAACAGAATCAAGAAGATAGAAATAGTATCAGCCATCTTTTCAGACCATGATGCACTGAGGATAGAAGTGAATCACACACAGACACGGAGAACCAAATCAAACACCTGGAAATGAAACAACTCGATGCTGAACAATGAGTGGGTCAGGAACGAAGTCAAGGATGAAATCAAAAGATACCTGGAAACAAATGAGAATGAAGACACAAACTACCAGAACTTATGGGATGCAGTGAAAGCTGTATTAAGGGGAAAATTTATAGCTCTGCAAGCCTATCTTAAGTCGATAGAAACGATGCACATAAACAATTTGACCTCACAGCTCAAGACCTTAGAAAAGGATCAACAGAAAGAGCCTAAATCAGGCAGAAGGAAAGAAATCATAAAACTTAGAGCAGAAATCAACGACATGGAAAACAAAGAAACAATCCGAAAGATCAATGAAACCAAGAGCTGGTTCCTTCGAGAAAATAAATAAGATAGATAAACCACTAGCAACACTCACAAAGAAACAGAGAGAGAGAACCCTCATAAATCGAATCAGAAATAAGAATGGGAATATCACAACAGAAACTAAAGAAATTCAAGAGATCATCAGAGACTACTTTGAAAGTCTCTATGCCACGAAACACGAGAACCTGGAAGAAATGGATAAATTCCTGGATTCCTACCATCTCCCAAAGCTGAATCAAGAAGATATAGAGTACCTGAATAGACCTATTCACATCAAGGAAATTGAAACTGTAATCAAAAGTCTTCCCAAAAACAAAAGCCCAGGCCCAGACGGATTTACTAGCGAATTTTTCCAAACATTTAAAGAGGACCTATTGCCAATACTTCTCAAGCTTTTCCAGGAAATTGAAAAAACAGAAACTCTCCCAAACAGCTTCTATGAAGCCCATATCTCTCTAATACCAAAAGGAAACAAAGACACCACAAGAAAAGAAAACTACAGGCCAATATCCCTGATGAACACGGATGCGAAGATTCTCAACAAAATACTAGCCAATAGAATACAACAACTCATCAAAAAGATCATACATCATGACCAAGTGGGATTCATCCCAGGGATGCAAGGATGGTTCAACATTCGGAAATCAATCAACATAATCCATCATATCAACAAAAGAAAAGATAAAAATTATATGATCATATCAATAGACGCAGAGAAAGCTTTTGACAAGATCCAGCACCCATTCACGATGAAAACCCTTGCCAAAATAGGGATAGAGGGGACTTTCCTCAATATAGTTAAAGCCATCTACCACAAACCTACAGCAAACATCATCCTCAATGGGGAAAAACTGAGACCCTTCCCCCTACGGTCAGGGACGAGACAAGGATGCCCACTCTCTCCACTACTGTTCAATATAGTACTGGAAGTACTTGCAATAGCGATTAGGCAAGAAAAAGATATTAAGGGCATCCAGATAGGGAAAGAAGAAATTAAGCTCTCACTATTCGCAGATGACATGATACTATACTTAGAGAACCCTAAAACCTCTACCAAGAAACTCCTAGAAACAATAGGCTTGTATAGTAAAGTGGCAGGCTATAAAATCAATACCCAAAAATCCATGGCATTCCTATACGCAAATAGTGAAAGAGAAGCAAGTGACATCAAGAAAACAATCCCATTCACAATTGTGCCCCAGAAAATCAAGTATCTAGGAATCAGCTTAACTAAGGAAGTAAAGGACCTGTACAAAGAAAACTACAAAACGCTACTTCAGGAAATAAAAGAGGACACGAGGAAATGGAAAAATATCCCCTGTTCATGGATGGGGAGAATCAACATCATCAAAATGGCAATACTTCCCAAAGCACTGTACAAATTCAATGCAATCCCTATAAGGACACCCATGACATTCGTCAAAGAAATGGAGCAAACACTCCTGAAATTTATATGGAACAATAAGGCCCCACGAATAGCTAAAGCAGTTCTTGGGAAAAAGAAAATGGGAGGAATCAACCTCCCTAACTTCAAACTCTACTACAAGGCAGTAATAATTAAAACAGCATGGTACTGGAACAAAAGCAGAGCTGCAGACCAATGGAACAGAGTTGAATATACTGACATTTCCTCCCAAACATATAATCATCTAATTTTTGATAAGGGGGCAAGAAAAGTGAAATGGAGCAGGGAAAGCCTCTTCAATAAACTGTGCTGGCAAAATTGGACGGCTACATGCAAAAAAGTGGGCTCAGATCTCTGCCTAACACCATGCACAAAAGTAAGATCAAAATGGATTTATGACCTCAACATCAGACCAGAATCCATAATGTTTACTGAAGACAAAGTCGGCAAAACTCTCCATGATATTGAAGCTAATGGTATCTTCAAAGATGTCACGCCACTGGCCGAGCAAGTGAAAACAGAGATAGACAAATGGGACTATCTTAAACTAAGAAGCTTCTGCACCTCAAAAGAAACATTGACCAAAATACAAAGACAGTCTACAGAATGGGAAAGGATATTCACCAAGTACACATCCGACAAAGGGTTGATATCAAGGATATACAAGGTACTGGTTAAACTCTAGAAGAAGAAATCACCCAAGCCCATCAAAAAATGGGGTGAGGAAATGAACAGAAACGTTCGCAAAGAAGAAATTCGAATGGCAAAAAGGCACATGAGAAAATGCTCTACATCACTAATCATCAGAGAGATGCAGATCAAAACCACAATGAGATATCATTTCACACCACAGAGACTGGCCCACATCCACAAGAACAAAAGCAACTGGTGCTGGCGCGGATGTGGCGAGAAAGGGACCCTCCTTCACTGCTGGTGGGAAAGCCGGCTGGTTCAACCCTTTTGGAAAACAGTATGGACGACTCTCAAAAAATTAGAATTTGATCTGCCATTTGACCCAGCTATAGTACTCCTGGGAATATATCCCAGAGAGGCAAAAAGGTATAGTCGAAGTGACATCTGCAATTGTTTGTTCATTGCAGCACTCTTTACAATAGCCAGAATCTGGAAAAAACCTGAGTGCCCAAGAACAGATGACTGGTTAAAGAAACTTTGGTACATTTACACAATGGAATACTATGTAGCTGTTAGAAAAGATGAAGTTATGAAATTTACATACAAATGGTACTACATGGAAAGTATCATGTTAAGCGAAATGAGTCAGAAAGAGCGGGATAGACACAGAAAGATTGCATTCATCTGGGGAACATAAAGCAACAAAAAGGGAGATTAACACCCAGGAATGGCTGAGATTAGTACCAGGAATTTTGCTCCATGAATGGAAGGCCAGCCACAGGCTCTAGGTGAAAAGGAAGCTCAGGTAGAGAAGAGAGTACCAAATGAAGGGTGTTGTGAGGGCCCTCCCAGGGTGGGAGAAGCATGCTAAAAGTAGTCGATAGACCAAACATGATTGCCACTCAAAGCCTCTCTTGCAAAACACAGTACCCAAAAGAAGAGAGAGAGAACAAGGGGGAATACCCTGCCACAGAGGCAGGATGGGACGGGGGGGGGGAGGAATGAGGGGTGGGGGGGGATGCTGGGACCCGTGGGGATGGATGACGGGCACTGGTGGAGGGATGGGCACTTGATCATTGTATAACTGAAACCCAAGCACAAAATTTGTAAGCCTATAACTGTACCTCATGGTTTTTCACTAATAAAAAAAGAAAAAAAAAGCAGCAGTGAGTGGTCATAGAGCTACAGCTGCTTATAGGTGCTTGCATCTTTAAGTGGTCCAATGGGTGCACAGAGTTTGACAACCTGTACATGACAGCTCCACAGGGGTCTGACTCAGCACCTACATCCCTGTGGATGTCTTTATGCATCAGGGTAAACTGCACAGTGCAGGCCCCACAGAGGGAGATGGTTGAGCTCACCTTTAAGAGCCCGGAATCTATTCACATCACATGGGATATTCTGGATTGGGAGTGAGAGGTGGACCAAAGGGAGAATTACACATAAGCAGAAATCAAAGGGAGAGAAGTGCAGAGATCTAGACCACTATGCCAAAGAATGCAAGCTGCCACTCCAGCCCAGAAATGTCAGTCTGTCAGAGTCTCAGCCATATGGTGGCCTCCAGCACACTGAAGGCCTAGAACAGTCCCAGCTCCCAGGGGAAATCAAACAGATTCTGGGAGGAAGCAGAGGAGATCCATTCCTCTTCCCTGTTCCCAGAGGTCCAGTGGATAGAAGCTACCCTTTGGTGATCACAAGTTCCAAGGAACAGGCATCAATTCACAGAACAAGGCAAGAGAAGAGGTGGTGAGGGGATGCTGGTACTGTCATGTCTGTATCTCATGACCCAGAGCACTACCTCCTAATCCTTCTTGGTGGGGGATGGGAGGACCAGTGAGCAAAGAATCTCAAACCACTCTGCCCACGTGCACCTGGGGACTTTGAGGGGTGGGGGAGGGGGTGTGTAAGGAATCCCTCCCTGCAGTCTATATCAGAGTCTGTGTCCCTAGAATCCCTTGTTCATGAAAATGTCCTGCACACAGAAGTGGCTTTCCTTTTAAAGAAGGCTATATAAAGATCTTTTTCTTAAGGGCAGCTATATATAATATAGCATTTAAGGCAATTGTCTTATATGTGGTAGAACAGTCACAGTTTGAATTCCAGCACTGCATTAAGTCCCCCTAGCATAGCCAGGTACGGCTCCCGATCAGAGAAAGTGTGCACCTCCACATCTCAGAAAAAGAAGGCTATGTAGGACCAGAGAGACAGATGCATATGGCTCACCCCTTTAGGTCCCCGGTACCGCATGGTATCTGAAGGGCAGCAGAAGCAACCCCTGGGTACAGAGTCAGGAGGAAATGTTGGGTGTGTCCCAAAAGTCCCTAAGAGCAAAATCATACCAAAAATATAAAAAGAAGAAGGCTATATAATATTCCTTATGACAGAGAGTGAATAATTATCAAATATGGGATCAGATTGAGAAATCCAGCCTGCAAGCCACTGCATTTTGTGAAGGGAATTCCTCAGGGCTTACAGGTGATTCTTCCACCTAATGCATTCTTTGAATAGGGCATGTTGAGAAGTGTACCAAGCAATTGATTGTGATGACAGACAAAAGGGGCCGTGGTGTCACAGCAATGCTCTGCTCCCAAGCTCATGCCCCATTTGGGGTCAGTACAATTTTATTTTTTCCCCTGGATAGCCACAAATCGAGTCCCATTTTTTTATTTATTTTGATTTGGGACCACACTTGGTGGTACTCAGAGTTTACTCCTTTCTCTGTGTTCAGGGATCACTCTTGGCAGGCTCAGGGAATCATTTGGGGTGCTGGAGATCGAACCTGGGTCAGCCACATGCAAGATAAGTGCCTTACCCACTGTACTATCTCTCTGGCCCTTGAGTTCCACTTTTTCCAGGATGACTACTGTTCTAGCTGGGTGCAAATTATATAAATGTGCACTTTAATTTTATTTCTCAATACAAATAGCCTAGTTTTATATTTGTGTTATTTTCATCTGAGTTCCCATTCCTCAGTGTATCCTCAAGTGCACAAGCAACCTCAGGCATGTATCTGCAGCAATTCTAGTCCAGGGGACTATTTATAGTGCCAGGCATCGAATCCAGGTCAACTATTTGCAAGGTAAGTGTTCTACCCATTGTACTATTATTCCAGCCCAGTTTTAAAAACTTTAGTTTTAAAATGAGAAAAATAATCAGAGCATCTTTGACAAGGTTCTGCACCAGGAAAAAAGAATCACAAGCTTGGAGACCTTCTTCAAGTAAAGGGCTTGAACTGCTCTTTCTGGGAATTTCAACTACCTTTATGCCCTTCTGCCCCTATTTCTTATGCCTATATATTCCTATATCAGATCTTCTATTATTCACATGCCTACCATTCCCTCAATTTCTCTCCTATGTCCTTGATTCTCCCAGCCCCCACCTGATCACTGTCACTGTCCTCCCGTTGTTCATAGATTTTGCTCGAGCGGGCCCAGTAATGTCTCCATTGGAGACTTTGTTGTTACTGTGTTTGGCATATCGAATACATCACGGGTAGCTTGCCAGGCTCTGCCCTGCGGGCGAAATACTCTCAGTAGCCTTCTGGGCTCTCCGAGAGGGAAAAAAAAAAAAACCTTTAGAAGTTATGAATACTCCATCTTTTGTTCCCAATTTCACAAATGAGAACTGTTCCTTGATATTTTTCATGCCAAATACAATGTTATTATTTTTATTTTGAATACTACCATACTACCATAGAAATAAGCAACAAGGGGACTTTCCATGTATAAAGTGGGATCAGGAGACCAAGAGAGGGAAAATGAAAGTAGATTTGAGTCATTCAAGACCTTTTTTGCAAGCGAAAGAAATAGCCAAAGTGGCAGAAGATTGTTAATGGGAGTCAGATGAACAAAACTGTATGTTTCCTCCTAAAAAAAAAACAAAAACTTTTTGTTCTAACTTGAATTTATGTGAAGAGAGGGAGGATAGGAGAGTAAGGAAGAACATACCTGTGTTTTTTCCCCAGATCCCCTCCCCCTCATTCCTGAATTGTCAAAGACTAGAGACCCCTGGGCTATGATGACCTCATCACTGGGAAGTGTTCATTTGATGGTTGATCTTGCTGTGTTGGATATTTCCTTTCCCATTTGCAATCATTTTGTTCCACACATGCTGAGCATTTTCCCATCCCTTCTCTCTCCCCTGGGAAAATACATGAATAAATACTTACTGGTACTGGGAATAATAAAAAAGCTCCTTCATCTGTGTGTGTGTCCCCAGCTTATTTCACTGGTGTTAGCATATGCTAGAAGTTCATATGAGACAGGAATTGAGACTCTGTATAAATTTTTATTTATCAAGATTGGATCTCAAGCCCAGGTGATAGGCCAAAGAACTGGAACAAATGTCTTGCATGCTGGATACCCCATTCATGTCCCAGTTCCATATGATCTGCCTAAGCACAATCAATATACCTCACCAGGAGTATATCCTGAGCACTGCCCAACGTGTCTCTCACCATACAAAAAAAAGTTCTGAGTGATTGACACTAGTCTATTCCTGCAAGTGATCAACTGAATGTCATTGTCTGTAACTAGAAAGAGACATTCTCGTACCTGTGGCATCCAATCCTTCGATAACAATGACTGGGAATCTTCCTTTCTGGATCTGTTCTGGGCACTGGTCCACCAGGTCAAGCACAGCTTGGGCTTCAGGAATGAAGGACGTGCACTGTAAGACAAGGCAGCTCAGAAGCAAGAAGGCATAGATCTTTTGCAGAAGCCACATGCATATAATTGCTGAGAACAAGAGTGCTTGATGCGGTGTTTGGGCACCACATCAAAATTCATCTGAACCTGAGCAAGGCTGGATTCCTTTCTTTAATACTGTATGTGACTTCAGACTCCAAAAGCCAGTAACTCCAAAAGCAATCACTCAGTACTGTTCATTAACTGGCTAGTCCCATGAGAAAGGAAAATAAAATAGGCAAGATGCATTGCAGAGCATTGCAACACAGAGGCAATGTAACTACATACCCAACCAGTGTCCACAAAGAGGTAAGTCCAGAGATAATACAGCAAGCAGATAAGGTGCTAGATTTGCATGTGGCTGGGCTGGGTTTGATTCCTGATACCACTATATGATCCGCTGAGCACTGCTAGGAATGATGACTGAGCACAGAGACAGGAGTAAAACCTGAGCACCACTCCGTGTGACCGCGAAAAAAACAAAAATGGAGGCAAATCAACTATGCTTCATGCTCTAAAAAAAGCAGTTGGCCTCCTGTTGTTTTCAGAGCTCCAGCGGCAGCAAGAGGGCAGATAAAAGTGCTCATCACTGTTATCATTGGCTAGCAGAGCCGGAGTTTCCTGGGAAATAAAGTTCTTAACTGCAATAAATGCTTCCCTAAGTGCTCACAACACAGCCACGGGTGGGCGGGGGGCGGGGAGGGGGGCTCTGACACCATTCTCAATGCTTTTGGTCTTCATGGTAATTCAGTGAAGGTTGCACTATTAGTCCCAATTTATGGATTAAGTTAACCGAGATGCAGAGAATCCTTAAGATACTAACTGGAATTAACACCATTATTGAATGGCAGAATTTGTTTTCTATGTTTTATTTTTTTTTTTATTGAATCACTGTGAGATACAGTTGCAAGCTTTCATGTTTGAGTTACAATCACAAAATGATCAAACACCCATCCCTCCACCAGTGCACATTCCCCACCACCAATATCCCCAGCATACCCTCTCTTTCCCACCTTCCCACTGCCTCCAACGCAGACAATATTCCCCATTCTCTCTCTACTTTTGGGCATTATGATTTACAATACAGATACTGAGAGATTATCATGTTTGGTCCTTTATCTACTTTCAGCACACATCTCCCATCCCGACCAATTCCTTCTTTCAATCGGATGGAGGAGTCTTTCTATGCTTTTAATGTGCTTTGGGGCCATACCCAGCTGTGCTCAGGGTTTACTCCTTGAGTCTGTGCTCAGGGGTCTGTACTGCTAAGTTTGGGAAACCATATGTGGTGTCAGGGATTGAACATGGGTCAGTCGAGGGCAAGGCAAGCACCTTGTCAGCTATATACCTTATCTCTGGCCCCAAGTTCCAGAATTTGGATTCCAGCCCAGAGAGCTGATTGCACACTCTTAGTCACTTCTTGAAGTAGCTCTAAGTTTGTGAAATGCATCTGAATGCAAAGTACTGGACATAGTGAGCATGGCCCACCTGCAATCTGCCCCTTCAGCACCCCCTCACTGAGCACCTGCTAGGGGTCAGATGTACCATTAATAACACATTCCTGCACAACCGGCAATCTTGGGTTTAAAGGGAAGAGTGATCATGTAAGTGGACAGACACTTTTTAAAATCAATGCCCTTTTTTCTACAACCCAGCCCACCAAGCAGGTGTCTCTTCTCCTACTGTGGCAATATCTTCTCCCATAACTAGTGGCCTCTTATATTGCACTTTTGCCCCTTCATTGCCAGCAGGTATCTCTGGGATATCAGTGACCCACAGCAAGTTGGAAGTTCCAGAGGGCAAGAATCCAAACGAGTTAGGGGATACTGGTACCCTGCCTACTTCTTACCCCGGCATCTCCAGTACCTAGCTGGGCAATGAGAGTCTCAACAACCACTACAAGAAAGGTCTCACCGGCCAGGTTTGCGCCCACTGCCTGGGGGCAGAAAGGAGGAACCCCCCTCTCCCCCCCGCCCCCCCCCCCCCCAAGTTCTGAGAAGAGAGGGAAAGCTTACCGCCTCCAAAACTGCACGCGCGGCTTCACGGTCCGGGAAAACTGCTGAACTGGACAGGTCGGGCACCACGGGGTGCAGCGCGGGCTCTGGGGCGGGCAGGACCCGCTGTCCGTCCGCCAGATGCCACCCCTGGCCGTCCCGCAATTCCCACAGGTGCTGCCAAACTCGGTGGCTCGGGTCACCGACGAATTCTCCCAGGCGCGGGCTGGGGACTTCCTGGCACTCGTCCAAGAGCGCGAGAAGCGCGCTCCGGGTGTCGGGACTGTCGCGGGGGTCGTGCAGGAGGACCCCATGCTGCACGTCGCCCTCGGGCGAGTAGCACAGCAGCCGGCGCAGCTGGCACCGCTGGAGGGGTCCGCGGCGGCGCAGTTGGTGCAGCAGGTGCTGGTGCAGTTTGGCCGCCCTCACCCGGGCCGCGCAGCTCGCGCCCGGCGCCACTGGCACCCACAGCGAGTAGCGGCGACCAGGGGGCTCCAGGAGCGCGGCCAGCCGGGGGTCGCCGCGCGCGTCTCCCCGGGCGCCGTCGTCGGGACCCGCTGCGGCGTCACCCCCGAAGGCAAAGTGAGCCAGCGTACAGCCGGGAAGCTCCAGCGCGAAGCAGTGCGGCGGTGACATGGCCCGAGCGCAGGCCCCGCGCAGCAGCGACCCCGAGGCGCGTCTGAGCAGGAGCTGACCCGAGCGCTGGCAGGCGAAGGCCATGGACACCTCCCCGTCCCGCCCTCCACGAGATCGAGACCGAAACCCGCCAGCGGCCCGGGAAGGGCGATCGGGAAACGAAAGCTAAGCGGCAGGGCGGGGCCCGGGGTTTGGGGGCCTCTCCGGTCTTCCTCGGCTCCCTCTTCCTCCTCCTCTTCCTTTGCTTCCTCCTCCTCCTCCTCTCCTCTGGGCCCCTCCAGCACCTACTATAGCTCCTGCAAGCGGCTGGGTCGGCGCGGTAAACAGGCTGCGCCCGGGAGGAAACGCCCGCAGGTGCGCGCCGACGCCGGCCTGCGCGGTCCCCAGGCGCCCCAAGGTGCTCTGCAGGGCAAGCCCCGCCGGGACGCAGAGAATCTTTTCACGGATTTTTCAAGCCCGTGAAGCATGAGTTGCCTGCAGAGGGTCTCAAAATTAAGAATTTGAATAAAATTCAAAACGACCCATAAAAGGGAATAGGCCTTACTATTTAGTGCATTTGGATTTAAAGTGAGATGTCTAAAAGGCAAGGGGTTCGTTTGTTTGTCTTGCAAAGGTGACCTAGTGGTTGGATTACCGTTGGTGAATGGGTAGTGACCCATCCCGCCCAACTTCTTTCTCCCTCCTTCCCCCCCCCCAAAAAAAAAAAAATAAAAGCAAAGTTTAGGGAAGATCGCTCAAAGGGTTGAGGTTCTGGTTCAATCCCCAGCAACGCTATATCCCCTGAGCACTGTACACCAAAAATAGTCATGGGTGGTTGGATGGGTGGACCGACCGACAGATTGATGGATGGAAAGACGGGACCATTTCCCTTTTAAACATTCTTAGTGGATACTGTGATGAAATGGGAGCCTTCTGTAATTCCTTTATAATTCAGTGCAGTGTGCATTTCTCCCCCTCTCTGTGACCCCTCGAAAACTATTAGACAGCTAAGACCACCATAGCCAAACACCACAACTCAGGCTTCCATCATAAAAATGAATGTTATTGATGTTTGAAAACTGAAGTCTGGGTTCTCTCACTAGCTAGAAGGCCCCCTTTCTCTCTGTCCTCAGGTGACCTTCCATCTAGGCCAGAATCTCTGGGTGTCCCATGAGTATACAGATTCTTTTTCCTGATTGGGATACCATTAGATTAGAAGATACCTTATCTATCTTAATGATTAGAACCTACCATATTACCTTAATTGCTTATATTTTTTTAAACTTAATCTCCTTAATAAAAATCCTATCTGCAAAAACAGTCGCATTTTGAAATACTGGGCATTAGAACTTCAACGTGTAAATGAGAGGTGCAAATTAGCCCCTAGCCCCCTCACCGTAAATATTCAAATTAAGTGGTCTGTCTTTAGTGCCACATTATTTGTAGATTATGATTCTCACACCCCACATGTATGGTTCACATGTATGCCCACATGTATGGTTCACATGTATGGAACCACATGTATGGTTCAATGCTTCTCCACTGAGCACTGTATTTAAATGCATACATATGCAAACCAATTACAACTGAGATTATACCAATTAAATGGATTACTTTACAACCAAGTAATCAGTAAAGAGGAAAACCAAAGAGTTTAGGTAGACATGTACAATAAATGTAATCCCAAAACTGTATGACACTAAAACATTGTTAATAGTTAAAAATAAAAATGCAGATATACAAAAACAAAAATGGGTAACATATTTGAACAGGCATTTCACAAAAAACGATCCAGCGCTGGAGTGGTGGAGGTAAGTTGTTTGTAGCATGTAGCCAACATACAGTTTGTTGGCTGGAACTGCATATGACCTCGTGAGTACCCATCAGGGCTCATTCCTAAACCCAGAAACAAGAGTATTCTCGGCACACCTCCAGGAGTAACCAATCATTCTTTCTTTCTGTCTTTTTTTCTTTCTTTCTTTCTTTCTTTCTTTCTTTTCTTTCTCTCTCTCTCTCTCTCTCATACGCACACACAATCAGTGACTAATAAACACATACAAAGATTTTTAACACCAGACAATTGGAATTTAAAACTATACAGAGGTCTGAGAGGTAGTACGGTGGGTACGGTGCTTACCTTGCACACCCTGCCCCAAGTACGATCTCCGGCACCCAATTTGGTCCCCTGAGGTCACCAGAAGTAATTCCTGAGCACAGAACCAAGAATAACCCGTGGCCCAAACCTCCCTCCAAATAAATTAAAATAAATAAAATGATAGTGAGATACCACTACACATCCACCGGGATAACTAATATTGAACAAAACAAAAAACTTAAAGCAGCAAGAGAAGAGATACAAAAAGCTATTAGAACCCTCAAGGGATGTGAATTGGCTGAGTCACTGTGGAAATAGCTATATGTATGTTTGTCTTAGGAAGTAGATATTCTACTCCAAAACATGACAGCAAAAAAAAAAAAATCCCCATATTCTAAGAATGGAATGATTCAATTACTGTGGTAAATTCAGCTAATGGAATTTTAGAAAGATATGAAAGTAATGTAAATAAAGTAAAGTAATGGGGAACTTTGTGACCTTGGACTCCGGGCTCAACGGTATCCAGGAACAGAGATCCTCTGCCTGCTTCCCCCAGTCTCCAGTGAGCTGGGAACACCCCTAAACTACAGCCTGCTGGTGCCAGATAATCTCCTCACCCTGCAGAACTCAAGGCTGCTTCTCCCGGAAGGGAGCATAAAATGAGGCTCCCATAACCATGCCACCGGACTCTGCGTGAGGCTATTTTCACTCAGGGCCCTTCAGAGGGGGTGCAGGTAAGAGCCCTCCCTACCCCAAGGGACCCAGCCCCCCTGGCAGCCGATCTCCACTACCCAACCGCCACCACGCTCCAGGCCACTTTCCACATGCTCGGGCATAGCCGCATGCATGAACATATTCCTGGACAAACACATCACCATAAAGGAAAATATTATATATATATATATATATATATATATCTCAGAGAACCCGGCAAGCTACTGAGAGTATCCTGCCCGCATGATACTCTTGTCAAGCTCCCCCATGGCGTATTTGATATGCCAAATATAGTAACAATAACAGGTCTCATTCCCCCGACCCTGAAAGAGCCTCCAATCATTAGGAAAGATGAGTAAGGAAAGACTGTTAAAATCTTCAGGCTGGAATGAATGGAGATGTTACTGGTGCCTGCTCGAGCAAAGCGATGAGCAATGGGATGACAGTGATACAGTGATACAGTGATGAAAGCGAACTAATGATTGCTATTCAGAAAATATGGCTCTATCTACAATTAGAATGGTGAGTGAAAGAAATTGGAGACAGAAGTCCGCACATACAGAGTTTGTAATATAAATCAAAGGGCCAAAACATATACTTTGCTAGCAACCCACAAGCCTCACGCATGAAGGATACCTATGGCTTCAAAGAATGAATTGCAGGTGATTCAACAAGTCACAAAAGAAGTTTATTATTCCTAATTCTTACTTTCAGATAAATGGAGAAAGACAAATTATCAAGAAATATGCATATGTTTAAAAAAATATTAAAATTACTGTTGACACTGTGAATTCTTTGTTATCACTTATCACTTAACTTCCCGTTAGTCGTCGATTTGCTCGAGTGGGCGCCAGTAACATCTCCATTTGTCCCTGTCACGTGCTAGTGTAGCCCAATGGCATCTGTTCACTCTGGGAACATGAAGAGCCTCAAACTGATCGTTCATGATCTTGACGAAGAAGTCTGACCATCTGGCAGGTGGGCGGCCACGCGGTCTTTTGACATCCCGTGGAATCCAGTCGGTAACAGCTCTAGTCCAGCGGTCGTCTTTAAATATGCCAAAACCAGTAACTACAACTGGTCTCATTCACCTTTGTTAGAAGTACTTTAACTTATTCATTTTATTTTTATATATAATACTTATATCTATTAATGTTATTAACAGAATCTCCTGCCCCCGTGCCAGGTTGTCTTCACCGGGGCCCCCTTGGAGGGGGTGGGTTGAGTTTCCCTCCTCATCCTAAGCAGAACCCTGGCAGCTAAAAAACTCCAGAACCCAACTGCAGCCATGCTCAAGGCCACTCTACATATGCTCGAATGAGCCTCACACATGAAGGAACTGGCAGAGGAACCCAGGTATGCTGGACCCCCGTAGCTGAGATCTCCAATCCTGCTCAGATTGGGACTAGGCTTCTTCCACCCAGATCCCCAGTTTTCCAGTAGCTTGGCAGTCACACCCACAAACTGTCCCAACGCCATGTAATCTCATCAATGATCAAGATCCAGAGACTATAAAACAAAGCTCCCAAAAGAGAGAGACGCAGTATCCCACCTGCATGGCAGAGCTTGGCAAACTACCCATGGCATATTTGATATGCCAAAAACAGTAACAATAATGGGCCTCATTCCCCTGATCCTTAAAGAGCCCCCAATACAGCAGTGTTGGGAAGGACAGGAACAAATGGAGACGTTACTGGCGCCTGCTCGAGCAAATCGATGAGCAACTGGATGACAAGTGGTACAAGTGATTAATGTTTCACACAAGTTTTTCAATACAAATCTGAAAATAAAATAAAACAGAGTGCCTACATAAAGACTGGGTAAAGCTATATAAAGAAATGGTCTGGAGGGCCAAAGAAATGTTATAGCAGGTAGAGTGCTTGCTTGTACCTGGATGACCCAGTTTCAGTACCTAGCACCATATATGGTCCCCTAAGTCCCACCAGGAGTGATCCCTGAGTATTGCCAGGTGTGTTCCTAAGAGCCAGAAAAGATAAAAAAGTTCAAAAAAGAAAATGACCTGAAACAAAATTATAAATGGAATTATAAAAAAATAGCTAAGTAAACGGAAATTTGTAAAAATGGTTATAAATAGTGTTATTAAAGTCATTGTCTGGGATTTACTGAGCTGTTTGTTGCTAGTTGAGCCTTTTGTGTAACTGTTTCACTTACTGAGCTAAGTGTATTTCTATGCTACTTTCCCATCTAACTGCTGTGCTTCCCATCTAACAAGGATGTCAGTTATTGTGGAATTTCCAGGCCACATAAACATCCACACACTCTTTTTTTTTAGATTTTTATTAGTGAAACACCATGAGGTACAGTTGTAGACTTACAAATTTTTGCGCTTGGGTTTCAGTTATACAATGAGCGAGTCCCCATCCCTCCACCAGTGCCCATTCTCCACCACCATGGATCCCAGTATCCCTCCCACCCCCCATACCCCATCCCATCCTGCCTCTGTGGCAGGGCATTCCTTTTTGTTCTCTCCTATTGGATGCTGTGGTTTGCAAAAAAGGCATTGAGTGGCAATTATGTTCGGACTACTTTCAGCATGCATCTCCCATTCTGAGAGGATCCTCCCAACACCCTTTATTTGGTGCTCCCTTCTCTATCTGAGCTGCCTTTTCTCCTAGCATGTGCAGCTGCCCTCCAAGCCATGGAGTAAACCTCCTGGTACTTATCTCAGATATTCCTGGGTGTTAGTCTTCTATTTTGTTACTTTATGTTCCCCATATGAATGCAATCTTTCTATGTCTATCCTTCTCTTTCTGACTCATTTCCTCATTTCGCTTAGCATGATACTTTTCATGTAGTACCACTTGTTTGTAAATTTCATGACTTCATCTTTTCTAACAGCTGCATAGATGTATTGTGTAGATGTACCAAAGTTTCTTTAACCAGTCATCTGTTCTTGGGCACTCAGGTTTTTTCCATACATCCATTGTGTAGATGTACCAAAGTTTCTTTAACCAGTCATCTGTTCTTGGGCACTCAGGTTTTTTCCTGATTCTGGCTATTGTAAACAATGCTATAATAAACAAACAAGTGCAGATGTCATTTCGACTTCACTTTTTTGCCTCTCTGGGATATGTTCCCAGGAGAACATCCACACACTCTTGGCACTCAAGAAACTCTGAAACTGGGACAATTCACAACCCATGGCTGTCCCAAGGGGGTCTCAGAGTTTTCAGCTTGAAGGTCCATGTACCTCACTTCAGAGATTGGCTCATTAAACTGTGAAGCTGGGCCTTGTACACGGTATAGGCTGTGGGATGTGGTTGTGGCTCCATTATGTAACTTAATCCTTTAAAAAAAAAAGCTACGTGGGTTAGACATGAATACCCATATTCACAGATATGTTAACAATTCCGGGTAAGTTTTCAAGATATTATCACAAATTATACAATTTGGCTGAATCTTAAAATATGTGATTTTGAAAGCCTATGTGTTATCTTTTGTGTTAAACCTAACATTTCAATGGAAATGTAAACAAAGGTGAGTTTCAATTCTTCATACATTGATAACATGTTCGAATGACTCAGACTCTGGTGAAAATCTAAAATATGCTGTCGAAAGTTTCAAGGTCTTGAATCATATCTACTGTTGCATAATTGGCAATTATAATGCAACACTTGCTATTTGGTTGAGTTTGGTTTCGGTTTCCCTTCTAGGTAAAATGAAAACCAGGTTGTTTTCCATTCCAGAATAAAAATAGATGACCCTAGCTGAACACATCAAATTTTCCAGGCACTAATCCAAGAGATTCACTTAAATTAGAATTTTTAGTCCAAAAAAAAAATTCCATGAGATATCCGGTCTCATGGATGAGAAAATGGAAATTCAGAGAAACAAGGTAACTGACCCAAATCTAGAAAGCATGTACATGGCAAGTAAGGTGTGTGGCTCCAGAAACTTAACCATGAGACTCTTCCAACTTTCTTTAAGTCTCCTGAAAACATAAGGCTATATGATGTTCAAACACAACTGTAATTCAAGAGAGAGAGAGAAAAAATCAGACTTTCTGCTCCTCCCTACTCAATACAAGTGCCTTCTTCAGAAGCAGTGACAGCCCTATTCCTGAGATACAACAGAATTGGCCTTGTTGGGCTCCTGGTTATCAGAACAGTTTTTAACTCTGGTCAAGTGGAAACTGAGACCATCAGAAATCACTTCTTTGACCTCAACTACATGTTTGATTCCACCCTTAGCAAGTTTAATCATGATGTCAAAGAAAGGCTGAGAACAGAGAACTTGTCATCAAGGAGAGTCCATCTCTATCTTCCAGAAATGAAATCCTGCCAAGATCAAATAGGTTGATACTGGTATTAAATGTGTCTTGGAGTCCACAGGTATCTTCATTATTCTGGAGAAGGCCAGAGATCACCTGAAAAGTAGCACCAAAATACTCTACCTCTTCTCCCTCTGCTGAAGTCCCCATGCTTGTGATTGGCATAAACCCCGAGAAGTAGGACAACTATCTTAAGTTTGTAAGTAATGCCTCCTACGTTAATACCTGCTTGACCCCTGAGCCAAGGTCACCCTTGACATCTTTGGCATCTTGGAGGGACTTACAACCACAGACCAAACCATCCACTGCTATCCTGGACTGTGGATGGTCCCTCAGAGAAGCTGTGGAGAGATGTCTAAGGTGGCCCAGAGCATCATCCCTGCTGCCACTGGTGTTGGCAAGGCTGTGAGCAAATCATCCAAGGGATGAACAGGAAAATGACAAGCATGGTCTTCATGTCCAGGTCCCCTGAAACAAGAGAGGAGTTTAGGAAGTTCTATTTTGTCATGTACCATCCATAAAGTACACTATACCTCCCCCCACCAAAGAAAGGGGAAAAATCTGTAGAAAATTCAATGACTCTAAGAAAACTGAAAAACTACTCTACAAATGCAGCAGTTCTCTGTTTTATTTGAGGGAGATGGGGTTGGACCATACCTGGCAGTGTTAGGGATACTCATAGTGGTGCTCAGGTAAACATGTTATGTCAAGGACAGAATCAGGACTGGCTGCATGTAAAGCAAATGTCTTAATCCCTGGACTATCCCTTGGTCTCTCCAATAATTCTTGCTAGTTAAGAAGCATGTTAGAAAAATAAATCTGACTTTTCTACTCCCTATTAAAAAGGCATAGATTCCCTTGCATGTGGTAGATAAATGAATGAACTAGACAAGAAGATGAACAGGAGCGCAGATAGAGATAGATATGTGGGATACAAATGTGGGATAAATTTGTAAAGCAATATACCAAAAGTGTGTAAAATGTTATAAGCTCATATTACTTCCATTGTCTAAATAATATAGAAATTCAAGAAAATATTGATGTTGAAATGTCAGCATAGTCATAGTACACAAATCAAACTGAACAAGTAAAGGGTAGAGGTGAATCAAGGTACAAATGTCATATGCACATATCAATTTTTTGGGGGGAATAGACACCCAGATCAACCCTTAGGCCTTACATTTGTGAAACAATTGCTTTTCCAAGCTACATCTGACTTTCCATTTAAACTCTGATCTGAATGGGCTCTGACACTGGTGGGCTCTGACCTCATCCCCAAGACACATCCCTTTTCTTCCTTCCTGAGCTCTATAGCAAGAATTGATGGACTGACACCCAGGACAGAAGGAGAGCAGAAGTTTTTCCCAGCTGTGATGTCATATGTGTGCAGGATGGTACCTGATGCCCTGCTATGTGTTGCCCCCGAGAGCCTCTGTAGCAAGGCTGCAGTTTCTGAGCCTCCTGAGAAAAGCAGGCAGAGCCAGACAAAGACAGCTTCAGTTGGAAGTTGGCCCTCTTCCAACTTTCATTTCTGCGAGGACAAAAATCGAAACTGACCTCAGCTGAGAGTTCTCGTCAGAGAAGGTGTGTCTGCGCTCCCGTGACAGTTCACTCAGGCACATATAAGGCGAGTGGTCCAGCGGCGGGCAAGGCATCCTCAGGCTGCAACCAACCATGTCGGTTCTCACGCCTGTGACTCTGGCTGAGAAGCTGCTGGGAGCTCTGGAGTCGCTAATGAGCTTCCTGTGGAATATCCTAGTGTCCCTGAGCTTTGGGCTCAGGTCCAGGCTTCAGAGGACCGAGTGTGGACAGCGGCAGCTGGGAAGGAGAAAAGAAGACTCTGGAGCGGCAGAGGGGCAGTTGGCTCTGCCCACAGTCCCCACCAGCGTCAACTACCACTTCACCCGCCAGTGCAACTACAAATGTGGCTTCTGCTTCCATACGGCCAAAACGTCTTACGTGCTGCCCCTGGAGGAGGCCAAGAGAGGGCTACTGATGCTCAAGGAAGCGGGTAAGTCCCTGTCCCAGCGGGACCCAAGATGCTCAGCTATGGGGATGTGGGTGCAGGAACAGGACTTGGAGGACACTTAGGGTGCTGAGAAACTGGAAGCTTCTCCAGAGTTTTAGTTGAAGATGTCTGGGCACAGTGATAATCTCCTTCTGCTAGAAAATGATTAGGTGAGCATGGCTCTCCCAAGATAGATTTGGGTGGCCCAGTGGTTAAACAAAACAGACCTGCCCCTGTCCTCCTGCCATTTGCCAATGAAGAGAAGCCTAATCAAATGCCACCCAGACCACACAGAACCTGGGCAGATACAGTTTGGGAAGGTTGTGCTACTTTGGGGGGGAGGGGGGTGTCCCAAGAACTCCAGGGATGAACTTTTTTTTTGAAACCGTGATTGAAGAACACTGAAAACAAGCAGAAAGATCTGAACTGGAGGCCTGCAATGTTTGCATTTTTTCAGACCATATCTGTGCGACTCACAAGCAATTTTAAGTCGACAATCAACAACATTATGTCAGTGACTTTGCTCTGGAGATATCTAGGATGAATTTCATGCTATCAGTGACTTGCAGGCACTTTATAGAGAAGCTCAGCACATTAATTCCAACAACACATGGCCTGCCCCATCTCTAGCCATCCCCCCCATCCATATGACTGTCCAGGTCTCCTGTTGCTATTCCTTTAAGGTAGTATGCTTAACTCTATGTACAGCTTTTCCTCACCATGTTTAATGTGTTTATGGAAATCTAATGCAACAGCAACACACATCATGTGTAACTCTGTGGATTTCACATTGTGAGCGTAGTCAGGTAAATAGTATTTAGACTCAGGAAGAAAACACTGCCACACCCAAAGCCACTTGCTCCTTTCACTTATTACCTTTTCCTTGCTGTCAGGCTGACTACTTCCTTGTCTCCTAACACAAAAATGAGTTTGACCTCACAGAGGACCTTCCCTTGTAGAAGATCATGCTGCATGTACTGTTTTGGAGCTGACCTTTCTCCCAATTATATGAGCTCAGTCATCTGCAGCTGATCCAAGTAAAGATCTGTCTTGCACCTTCTCCGAAGGTCTAGAGAAACTCTGTTCTTACCAGGAATATTGTATTTCATCTCATTGTCTCTGCCGTCCCCACTGAAAGCTCATGCACAACATGATGCAACATGTAGTTTATATAGTTTACTGCTTTGCCTCCCAGGTGAACTCTCTTTTTTTAAATTTTATTTTATTTAATTTATTTTTTTTGACTCACCATTTGATACAGTTACAAACTTTCATGATTGTTTCAGTCATACAATGATGGAGCACCCATCCCTCACCAGTGCACATTTTCCACCACCAATGTTCCCAGTAGGGCTGGAGCGATAGCACAGCGGTAGGGTGTTTGCCTTGCACGCAGCCAACATGGCCGACCCGAGTTCGATTCCTCCGCCCCTCTCGGAGAGCCCGGCAAGCTACCGAGAGTATCTCGCCCACACAGCAGAGCCTGGCAAGCTCTCCGTGACGTATTCAATATGCCAAACACAGTAACAACAAAGTCTCCAATGGAGACGTTACTGGGCCCGCTCGAGCAAATCGACGAACAACGGGAGGACCTTTACTTTACTTTACTTACTTTACTTAATGTTCCCAGCATCCACTCCCCTGCCACCCCCACCCCATCTCATCCCCTGCCTCTGTGGCAGGTACATTCCTTCTTACTCTCTACTTTGGGGTGTTGTGGTTTGCAATACAGATACTAAGAGGTTATCATGTTTGATCCTTAGTCTATTTTCAGCATGTATCTCCCATCCTGAGCAATCCATCCAACCATTATTTACTTAATGGTCCCTTCTCCATCCCAAATGCCTATTCCCCCAGCATGTGAGGCCAGTTTCAGGTGAACTCTTTTGCATGGCATGCAGTCCCAGCTTTGTTACCACAGTCTTTTCGGGTGCCAGGGAGTGAACCTATGCCTCCTTCAGGCAAAGCATGTGCTTGTTCCTTATATCTATCCACCCCCTTTTATTTCTGTGTTTTAAACAGAGACAATAGAATAAAGTTTTTTTTGTTTTGTTTTGCTTTGTGGTCAAACCCAGTTGGGCTGAGAGGCTATCCCTGACTTAGTGTTCAGTGGTCTCTCTGCTCATGCATCAGGGGACCATATGATGCTGAGGAACAAACTCAGTCCTTTTGCATACAAAGCATGAGCCCCAGTCCCTTGAACTACCTTTCTGATCCCCCTATTTTTGCTGCTAAGAGCATCAATTATTGATTTAGGATGTAATGTAATCCTCCTTCATGTTAGCACCATTGTATTCTTTGCTTCTTATCTAAAGTTTTAACTATGTCTCTGAATGCTGTTCCTTCAGTTAAGTAGGTGATTTTATCCCCTCTAAACCTACTCTTCATACCAATCCAGGATTAAGCTATTGGCAAATACGCTATCATCTTGCTGTCTCTAATTAATTGCATTTTTTGGGGGGGATGGGGTTATTTTTTATTGTTTGGGGGACACACCTGGTTATATACTCAGGAGTTACTCCTGGCAGTGTTCAAGGGACCATATGGGATGTCAGGGATCTAACACAGGTCAGCTATATGCAAGGCCAACACCCTACTCTCTAGACTATATCTCCAGCTCCCGAAAAAAATATGTGTTTATGTAATTATAATGATTATCACACAAGATTCCTTACATTTTAACTTATAAATAGTGTTTAATTTATTAGTATCCCACTGGAGACAAATCTGAACATGAACAAAGTACTAAAAAGATCTAGGAGGTGTTTGGTATGCCATAGATCAGGATTGCTCTGCCCAAGTTAAGAGAAGAAAAGACCCTACCAGACTTACAAAGACTAAAGGCTCTGGAGTTTGGCCACACTTCCTAGTTCCCTTTCTCTAGGTTTATGATCTTGAATAAATCATTGAATTACTTTAGGCTTCAATTCCTACAACTAAGAAGTAGAATATTTTCTTGCTGGATTATTCTCTTCTTGCTGAATTATTTTAAGAAATAAGTGAGTATGTTCAACACATTGTCTTGGAAGAAGAATGGGGAGATCAGAGGCAGATCAAGAGAAAACTCAAACTTCATGGTTTTTACTGAGAGTTCTTGAATAAAAAGAACTTCTTACTCAGGACCATGTAGGGGAGTATGGGCCAGACACAAAACTGTGGTGTGGATGGACTCTGCACTTCACAGTCCTTATTGTTATTTCCAAGGGAAGAAACAGACAGAGCAGAGCAAGTTGGCCTAGCCTGGAGTAGTTTGAATAATTTCTAAGAACTCTGGACATAGGGTTCTCCCTCGTTGTTCAGGACTGTGTGTAAAGCTCAAGAATGGTGCTTAGTCAATTAAGTCCTGACTAATTAAGTCAGGACTTAATGGAATATTAGAAGAGGAACTGACTAACCTCTAGCCAGGGCCTCAAATTGGGTCAAAACATTGTTTTAGGACCAGAGAGATAGCACAGGGATTAAAATACTTGTCTTACAAATGTTCAACACTTGTTTGATCCCCAGGATGATATGTGATTCCCCTGAGCACAAAATCAGGAGTAAACCCTGAGTACCACTGAATATGACCCTCAAACAACATCAACAAAGAAGTCACCAATTTTAGGGCTATGTTTGAATTCACTTTAATTAATTAGTTCCTTAGCAGTCACACAGTTAGCAGTACAACTTATCATAGTTTGTGGGATGAATAGATTAGCAGAGCAGTTCTTAGAGAAGATTGTGTAGGTATGTCTGAGTCTCTTGCCAGTTTCTCTAGGCTTTTCAGTGTTCACTTGGTGTTCCTAATTACTTTATACCTGTGACTGAATTTGCTTGCTGGTCTTGCTGAAGTTGTTGCATGCACCTAGGAGCACTGAATTTAAAGTTTCCATTTCTCCGACCTGTCCCCCTTCTACTCCATGTGTGAAAAGGTCACTGCTCTGCCTCCAGTCTGGATATGTAGTGTGATGTCTGTGCTCTCAGCATCACTTAGACATTTGAAGTAGACTTTTAAAACTCATTTAGTGAAAACTTCTTACTATTTAAAAGTCCATTCTGGAACTGGCCCACCCTGGTGTGGACCACTAGCCTAGAGCAAGCAGTAAAGATCCTTGTTGAACTGAATTAAAAATGAATTTCAACTGTGACAATAGCATCTATGGAGTTTGAGATATCCTGGGACCACTAGCCTAGAGCAAGCAGTGAAGATTCTTGCTGAACTGAATTAAAAATGAATTTCAACTGCGATGATAGCATCTATGGAGTTTGAGATATCCTGGGCCTTCTACTTAATCACAGTCTTTTTTTAAAAAATCTCATTCCCTCTGATCTTTTCTCCCGTCCACTATAGTGACAGAAACATGATGACATTAAGGAAATAAGCTTATAAAGAAATCACCAGACTCTAACTGATTTATGGGGCCTTGCCAGTCTCAGATGAGGGCCTCCGGGGATGCAGAAACTCAGCCAACTTCCCCAGGGGAGGAAGCCTCTTTCTGACAAGGAACTCATGGATGATGCAAAAGTAAGACATGAAGTAGAAAGGAGGATGCAGTCAATCCTGAAGATTGACACATAGAGTATTACTCCTTGCAGAACTACTGATTACAACTGTAGGTTGGCACATGCAAATCCAAACTTTAAATCATCTTATTTAATTCATGATGTTTCCTCACCACCTAGCGCCCAATTAGTCCCCACCATAATTCCTGTCCAAGACCAAAGAGTTATTATTCTGCAGGACTCCAAGACTGTGTAGTCAAGGACACAGAGCAGAGAGGAGAAACTTTTCACATTGAAAATGGGAAGCAGGAAATGCAAGTTGCTCTCTGCATGTGAGAAGCCCATTTCTGGATGCAGGCAGCTGGTGTCTTCCCAGAGGAAAAGGGACTAATGATGCCTGGGAAAATAAAATGGCCTGAAGGAAAAGCCAAGGACATTGACATTTGGGGGCACTCTGTCATAAGTAAGCCATTTAATGCCTCTGTCACTGTAATGAAATCCTCCTTTTGGCTAATCCTCTCCTTAAACATAGAAAGAAGAAAGACCCGTCAGCCCTTATTTTTTTTTGCCTCCTCCAAATATTAATGAATACATAAATGCACACACAAAAAGGCAAACACCAAGACAGAAAGAATACAAGAAAAATTCAAAACTGCCTAATAATTGCAGAGATAAGCGACTTCACAAATATGGAATAAGAAGAGAATGTCAAAAGAACAGATTATGAGAGTCTGGGAAACTAAGAATGGGGTTTCTAGTATTCAAATTTTGATTGTCTGAAAGATAAAGTCTTAGAAAATGAAACAGCATAGGACATTATTGAAAACAGGTTAAATTCAGTAGGTTCGGTGTGAACATGGCAGAACTTTTTGAAAGAGAAAAGTGAATGTAAAAGAGGGAGAAATTATTGCACGCCTCTTATTCTTGTGCATTAATATGTCCCTTCATATTTGAGTGATGTACTACAAACTGATGAATCTATGGCTAAGGAAAGGATTAGCAAAATGGATGATTTTACTATAGTGACTGAGGGATCAAATTGCGTATTTATGAGTGCCCCCCCAAATGCCAGAAAGGAATACTTATAGTAAAAAAATATTTTTTTTAGATCAATGGCTTTCCAAGTTCGTAAAAATAACCAGGAATGCCACTTAGTTACATTCTCTAAAATTTTAGAATATTAGAAAAAAATTCTAAACATTAGAAAAATTTCTGCAAGGAAAGAAAACTTCTGAAAAGGGAACGCTATGTAAGTTACAAAGGACTAAATGTAAGCATATGTTCATATTTCTGAATAGTCCTAGTCACAAAACATAGAAAATAACAGATAATGTTCTAAAATTCAAATTAAAATGACATACATAGAGTATTACTCCTTTCAGAACAACTGATTATAAATGTAGGCTGGCACATGCAAATCCGAACTTTAATTCATCTTAGAAAATGCATCCCCCCCAAAAAAAATAATGGAGAAACTAAAAGAAAGAAGAGAAAGATTGTTGGACAAAAAATACCAGTGGGGAGTGGAAAGAAAATCCCAGTAGATTTCTGCTTCTCGTGTAGAGTAAAATCCAAGGCTGAGAACTGGCTCATGAGCAACCTTCTAGACTAAATTAAAAGTTGTTCCCCACTGTGCAAATCTCTGGGCTTCTATGTGGCACCTTTCACTTTCAACAATTCTATTATATGTGTAATTAACCTTCTGCATTAAGCTGTATCAACTTTAAAAGAGGGAAGGAAGGAAAACACTTCAGGTTTTGCATTTTTTAAAAAAAATATTAGAAGTTGGAAGACCTATACCTACATCAAACCCTAAAATGTTGTTGATGAGGAAACAAGAGATAGAGGATAATAAAAGATGTTGCTTCTTTTCTGTTGTGTTGAGAAAATATCACTGTCTCCATTAAAGGAATAAGGGGTGACTGTGCATCCACCTTTCCTCTCACAGGTATGGAGAAGATTAATTTTTCTGGCGGAGAGCCATTTATTCACGATCGGGGGGAATACCTGGGCCAGCTGGTGAAGTTTTGCAAGCAGGACCTCCAACTGCCCAGTGTGAGCATTGTGAGCAACGGGAGCCTGATCCGAGAAAGGTGGTTCAAGGAATACGGTGAGCGGCCTGAGAGCACTCGCGTGGTCACTACTGCTGTTACTATCCCTGTCTGTATTGCCTTCATACCTGGGCACTCGACCAGGTCTGCTGGGAACCGGACAGGAAGGGAAAAAATCAGACATACTTATTCTAATGTGTGCATGGAAATTGTGGTGGTTTTCATTCCATAGGCTTAAGTAAGCAGACGAGACAAAATAGATAACAGGTGACATGAGTAAGAATACCACTTCTGACCACTTCAAGATTTCTAATATTAAAACCTAAGGCTTTTTAAAAAAATTTTTTAGCTTAGCCATTGAAGGGGAAAATGAACAAGTTTGCAGTTTGGCAAGTGCTGACATATTGTTCGCTTGCTATAGTTTACTTTTCAAAATGCTATCAGAAATAGAAAATTTTGCAAGCGTCATACAAATTTAGCAATTTGATGAAACAGTCCTTCTTGCCAGTGTTTTGTTAATCATAGGGTATGTTCGCCCTGTGTTAAATATATCAGAACCTCGTGGTGTGTGAGTAGGCCAATTTGGTGAGAGGGAGGAGGAGAGAGGGTTCCAAGCGATTACATTATTAGAAATTATTGTATCCCAAGGCTGCTAAGGTCCTTTACAGCCAAGTTTTATGTAAATATAACAACCTTAGATAATTATCTGGCATTAGAAAGTTATTATTACTGCCATCATCTCAGAAAGCAGTTACAATATGACTCTCAGCATGCAATTTTCTTTACTTTTGGGTTTATGTGGATTTTTTTTAGTCTTGAAATCAAAGGACAGTTGCATTAACTGACCATCTTAAGAGGATTTTCATAGGACATCTCTAACCAAACACCTCCCCCAAATACTTCTTCCTTTAAAAAAGATTGGGCATAATGAGGAGGAGATAAGGAAGCTGTAGTTGTGGGTCTTTGACCATTCAGTGAAGATTAATAGAAAGAAGATCCAATACTTTCAGTGAACAAGTATCGGAGAGTAACCTACATCAATGAATGAAGAGCTAAAAATGAGTAACTCAGCAAAACAGGGACTCGGAGTTTCAAAATATCAGTGTGGAGACCATAATCATAGATAATAAAGATTTAAGGAGCAGTGTGGCCAGAGATTAATTCGTGAGTCTGCTGGGAGTTTGCCTGGTATGTCCTCTACTCCAAGATGGGGTCCACAACACAGCCAGGAGAAGAATCATACTTCGGGTGCTAATGTTCTAGTGTTTAAATGAGAGAAGGGGCTAGATTAATTAATTTGGAAGTGTAGAAGATAGGCAAGCCCACTGCAAGGCAAGAAATGAGAGTTAAACCTGTGAAGATTAGGAAACTTCCTGTCCTCCTCAGAGTGAACAAGTAGATCACCAGCTAAGAGTTTCTCTTGACTTTTACTCTTCATGAACGTTTTGGGAGATTGTTGCATATCCTCAAAGATGTATCAAGAATGTGCATTCTATATTTAAAATATTTGAAAATTTTACAACATTTAAAAACATCTAAATGATTTAAAATTTTAACAAATACTTGGAAATAGTTTAGATGTCATGAGGAGCAGTGTTCGGGGCTATTCATATGGCGACTATGCCTCTGGGTTTCCACCTCTGATTGAAAGGGCTAGACTTGGCTTAGGGTTTTGAGTAGATTACAATATTGTTTTCAAGCTCCCAATAGCAGTTGCAGTTTGGAAATCTAGTAGTGCTCCAAAGATTCTATAGCAAACTATAATCACAGCTAAGGTTTGTTAGATTAAGAGATACAGGGTGAAATAGGCAGATGATCTGCATTGCCAGGGTCTGTGCTCTACCCTAAGATGGTTCCACAATACAGGAGGAGCAGCCCATGCATTGGGGCCATCCCCGAACATTCAGACTCTGATCCAAACCTGTTCAGGTACATACAATAAATCTTCCTTTCTGTGAACTATGTTTGGAGTGTCTTTGTTCCAGAACAGTTAATTTAAAGTTACTTAGATTCTGACACTGCGGTCAAAGTGATAGTACAGAAGGCATAGCACAGCAGTTAGAGCATTTGCCTTGCATGTTGCAGACTCCCAGGTTTGATCTTTGGTATCCGAGCCCTTCCAGAAGTGATCCCTGAGCACATAGCCAAGAGTAAGCCCTGAGCACCAACAGGATATGGCCCCCAAACAAAAAACAAACAATAAACAACAAAAAAGAGTTTGAGGCTTCTGTGCAGGGCTAAACTCTTCTGGTTATGCAATCAGCCAGGGACACTGAAAGTCAAGACCCCCAATAATGACACCAGGTACATCAAGATTCTTGGTAGGCAATTGGAAACTCTTGACAGGCTGATTTGATGTATTTCTTTAGACTAGCTGTATACATCATCTATACAAAGCATATTCTGACACAGAAGTTAGCCATGATTCTGTTGTGATTCCATAATCTTTAGAAATAAACATGCAAGAAATGAGCAAACAGGTCTGCTCTATTAAGCTTCTTATTGGGAGGGGTTTGAGAAGAAACTCTGACAATAGGAGTTTGGGTATCAATAATACAGCAAAGTTGGAGAGGTAACAGAATAAGAAACTAATGTAGGAGTCTCAGCTGATATGGAAATCAGCTACTGCCTGAATATAATTGATAGGTCTCTGAGTTTCTGATTTTGAACTTTAATTTTGGTTTGATTAGAGACCTCTTGTTTAGAAAGAAAACTAAAGCATTTCTGGTATTTTTTCAACATGATATGCTGTTATAAATTTTGTTTATGTTACATTTTAGAATGTTTTGAGTTGTTTACATAGTGGTCAATTTTCTTATTCTGGCTCCAGTTGGTGCTAGATGCTTTGGAGCCTATCAAGATGCATGTGCTTGTCCTTAGTGAGAATGGAGACTATTTAGGACCCTGGGATACCAAGGGGTCTGTGTACAGGTAACAGATGATAACTTACTCAAAATGCATTAGTATACAGTTCAGAACACATGCCCATTTTAATCTTTCTCCAGTTTATACTGAAATGTGAAAGTTATTCATGTGTCTAGCATTATATCAGCCCTCATAAAAATTACTCTATAATTATAAAATTAGAGAAGTTACATAAAGAAGTTTTAGAATCCTGCTACTCCAATATTTGAGTCACTTTAAGAGCTATTTTTTAACAAATTCTACATTGTCAGAAGACATGGAAAATAAAAATCTACTCAAACTGCAAGGAGTTGGCCACTGAAAGACAAGGAGATGAAGGTACCTGTACATAAGAGACAGAATAGTATGGAACAGCAGAGATTAAAAGACAAACAAGAAAGGCAGAAGAAAATGAAATGTTATAAATACCGATAGGAGATAGAGCAAAGTAAAGATCATTTTTATTACCATATCCAGTAACAAATCTACTATCAGGGCTCAAAATAAGTACATGATGGGAGGGCTGTTTATCATCTGGTTGCTCAGCTGAATCTCTGCTTATCTCGGCCTCCTCTGCCTCTTAAACAGTTTTGCCTGACACTGAGTCTATAAATATTTATTTAGACTATGAATCAAATATGCAGATGTTATCATGAAGCAGCCAAATAACTTGGCAAAAAAAGTATCAGGTTTCTTCTACAGAGAAATTTGATGTATGTGATAAGAAAATAAGTAAGTCTATACATGTTCACAAATATGTCTGGAAACAGAAAAATATCCACCTGTCTCAGATGTTACATGATTATAATTGAAAAATTAATGAAAAATAAATCAAAATGTATTGACAAAGAACTTCACACATGTTGAGTTTTGGAAGAGTCAATCATTACCATTTCATGGAAAATGGTTGATTTTTTTCAGGATTACATACACAAATTCCAAGTCTAATTTACACTTCAGTGACTTTTGCGGGTATAAGGAAACTTATCTTTTTAAGCACAAAAACAGAGGTATAAGTAAGATAAGTAAGATATGTTTAACTATAAAGAAACATAAGTAATTGAAAGTGCTAAGTCCCTGGATGAAAATAGTAAGAGTTGGTTATTTTTGCTCAGGTGAATATTTGGATATTCTTGCCATCTCCTGCGACAGCTTTGATGAGCAAGTCAATGTTCTGATTGGTCGTGGTCAAGGAAAGAAGAACCACGTGGAAAATCTTCAAAAGCTGAGAAAGTGGTGCAGGGATTATAGAGTTGCCTTTAAGATCAATTCAGTCATTAACCGGTTCAACGTGGATGAGGATATGAATGAACACATTAAAGCTCTGAACCCCGTGCGCTGGAAAGTAAGTACAGTGCTATTTTTACAGTTGCAGTTAGAGGAGAATTTACAAGAGATTTGCTTCAGTGAAACCTCACATGATAAGGGTGCTGAGAACTTTGCCCTTATAGCTCTGTTCATCTTCAAACAGCATATATTCTCTTTGTCTCAATTTTCCATCCCGAGTGCTAGAACTGTTTCCTGTCTGCCAAACTGTTGTAAAGATATTGGAAACAGAAGTACACACAGTATCAAGAGAGGTTCTAAAAAATATATACATAGAAACCCTAATTGATATTAATCTATAAAAAACTAAAAGTTATTTGTAGTTACAACATATATATCTATTTATATACAAAGGTACTTTTACATATAATGATTTACATATAATGTGATCACTTCATAGTGTGGATTTCTTCTTAAAATATTGCATTATAAACAGGTATTAGTACTTTATAACTTTTGTTATTAGTGAATTCTTTATTGAATTATTCAAAGACATTGGTAGCAAAGCCAACCCCAGGTTGAGGCAAAATTTATTTACCTAGATCTATTCACCAAAATCCTGCTTTATGACCGACTCCACCATCAATCTCCAGAATATCTAAAGTTTTAGTGCATACATGCAACTCCAGTTATATTTAATATGCACAATGGGCTTGTGAATAATTATAAAGTTTTCAACCTTTGGCTGTCCTTCAGAATCTACTCAGGGAATTGCTTTAAAAAGCAGCTTCTTGGACCTCTTCCCAAAGCCACTTTCTCGAAGCAGGACTCAGGTGGGGAGTGGATATCAGCAGAAGGGCTTGCAAGAGCTGTATTGTTAACAAGCTGCCCGAGTGTCCCTCTTTCACTACCAAAACTCTGAGTCTTGACTCCAGGAAAGATGTAAACTCAGTTCTAGTAAGAAAAAAGACCCATGTATGTATACCCAGGTGTGCATCTACATATAATGTAGTCACTTCATGATATGCTAGTATAATAGAAAGAGGAGAAGGGGGTGAATTTTGATTCTGCCAAAGTATCTGGAAGGTTCCTGGGAGAAAGTGGATCTTCTCTTCCAACAGAAGGAGAGAATTCCATGGCTAGGGAATGTCTGATGCAGAAAGTTTATCCAGATGGAAGAGCATGCCACATAGGAAAACTCTTCTAAGGTTGTCTGAGTTGTTTTTTAACCCAATGCCATCATTCAAAATAGAATAAGAGAGATGGGAAAACTGATTATTATAATATTTTCCTGGTGTTACCGGGCAGTGTGTGGAATCAGATTAGAAGCTAGAAATGTTAATTTTTTAATTGTTATATTGAGCTTGAACATTTATTGCATATATAAGGAAGCTAGAATATGATACTCTTTCAGGCTTAAAGGAACTAGGACTGGAACCTAAAAAAAGAGGGTTGAGAGGAAGAACAGAGATTAAGATCCACTAGGACAAGTAGACCAGGGCAAACAAGGAGGCCAAGTTTCCAGTTCTTAGAATTCCTCCTAGAACCATGTGCCTTCAGCGGTGTCCTTTCCTGCAGTCTCATTTCTTTTCCACTTCCTTTGCCATGACTAATTCTTTTTATTCTCCTTTCATCTCTTTATTTATTTAATTTGTTGCTATAACTAATTATTTTTATTCTTCTTTCACTTGTTTGTTTGGGGGCCAAAACTGGCAATGCTCGGGGACACTCCTGGCAGGACTCCAGAGACCTTATGTGGTGCCAGGGATCAAACCTGGGTCATCTGTGTGTAAAGGCAAGCACCCTATCCACTGTACTATCTCTCTGGCCCTTCCTCTTAATGTTTTAAATAAAATTTTTCATGTTTTTTTTTTTAATGGCTCCCGTCACTTCTGTTTTTACTCCAATTTTTCAAACTCCTGCTCTCATTCCTATTTACCCAATTCATCCTGAATTTCCTTTTTCAAAATTCTAACTACTTCAGAGGATGAGAAATAGCTGAGGCCTACTTAGAAAATCGTTTTCTAAGCTTTGCAGGTCATAAATTAATGTCAAAAGATGCCCCTAGATCAAGTGCTCATTCTTCATTCTTTTCTGATTACTCATGTACCTGCAAAAGTGATTCTACCAGGCCATTTCCTCCCTGGGAGGTTACAGGCTTAGAAGCACCTTTAACAGTATCGAGTGCAGTCTTGGTCTGCCTACTAAGGAACTACCTAAAGACTGGGAATGTAACAGCAGAAAAGCTATGCTTTGTATAGAAAGAAGAGAGAGAGGGAGGGAGAGAGAGAGAGAGAGAGAAAGAAAAGCGAAGGAAGGAAGGAAGGAAGGAAGGAAGGAAGGAAGGAAGGAAGGAAGGAAGGAGAGAAAGAAAGAAAGAAAGAAAGAAAGAAAGAAAGAAAGAAAGAAAGAAAGAAAGAAAGAAAGAAAGAGAAGGATGAAAGAAAGAGAAGGATGAAAAAGAAAGAAAGAAAGAAAGAAAGAAAGAAAGAAAGAAAGAAAGAAAGAAAGAAGGAAGGAAAGCGAAAGAAGGAAGGAAAAGAGGAAGGAAGGAAGGAAGGAAGGAAGGAAGGAAGGAAGGAAGGAAGGAAGGAAGGAAGGAAGAGAAAGATAGAAAAATGAAAGAGAGAAAGCAAGTTAGCAAGCAGAGAGGGAGGATGTGAAGAAGGGGAAGAGGAAAGAGAGGGAGGAAGAAAACCAATTGGCATCTATCATCAGGGAGCTTTAAGTCACCTGGGGACCAGCTTCAAATGCAACAAAGGAAGTGCTACCTCAGCCTCTCCATCTCTACATGCAAGCACTCCTCTCCCTCCTAATCCCCTCCCTTCCCTCTTACCCCCTCCCAGCTCTCTTTCAGCTGCCACGACATGACTTTTACAAGAGGTCTTGACATCCTAGCCTGAAAATTCTGGGACCAAAGCCACGAGGGGGAAGCCTGGGTGTGCCTTTATTTGTCTGAGAGATGTTTGAAGAGTCTGCCGCATGCCTCTGCCCCTACCAGAGTGCTCTCCTTACCCTGGGGTAGCCATAGGGGTTCTTTTCCAAAGATGAGGAGAGAAGTCCTGGCAAGATGTTTGTTGCCTCTTGAAGGTTCCCTGGAACAAATATTAAAAAAGATCTTTTGGGGCTGGAGTGATAGCACAGCGGGTAGTTCATTTGCCTTGCATGCTGCCGACCTGCGTTCTATTCCCAGCAACCCATATGGTCCCCCGAGCACTGCCAGGAGTAACTCCTGAGTGCAGAGCCAGGAGTAACCCCTGAGCATTGGCGGGTGTGATCCAAAAAGAAAAAAAAAAAAGATCTTGTGACCAGTGCTGGTGGGCTACATGTGAAGGATCTAAAGAAGCTGGGGCAGGGGGTGGGAGATACAGGTAAACATGGCATAAATTGGAATCAAAGAATGAGATTATGGGGTCCACAAGTAGGACTACGAACCATAGGAAAGAAATCAGGTAGGAAGGGGGCTACACTGGGTGGGTTTGAGGAAGTTGAGAAATGATGCTTCAGTGTCTTTTTGGCTTAGAAAGAAGAAAGTCTGTGCCACAGGACAGTAATGACGGGTCAGTAGAAGCGGTGGAGTGCTCTTCACAAGGCCGTGCCTACACTTGTCTTCTAGGTCTTCCAGTGCCTGATCATTGAAGGGGAAAACTCTGGAGCAGATGCTCTGCGAGAAGCAGAAAGATTCCTCATCAGTGACGAAGAATTCACAAACTTCTTAGAGCGCCACAAAGACTTGCCCTGCTTGGTGCCTGAGTCGAACCAGAAGGTTGTGTCACACACGTTTTGTCATTCATTCTCCACTTAGATCTATTCAAAGCAGGGGTTCTCCCTAGGGCTCCAAGCAATGGTACTGGGTCCCGGTAGCAACTGACCTCCCAGTGTCAGGTGAAGCCGAGAGGCAGGACCAGGTTTGAGGACTTCTGACTCATTGGGACAGTCTCTAGTCTCTGTGCCCACATGCAGATTCTCACTTAGCTGTGATGAGAAAGTCACACGATCCTGCATCTTTAACAAGATCGCCCACGAGGTTCACCATCCCTAGTTCAACTCCACTCAATAGCAGGGTCAAGACTTGACTGTGCTCAGGAGTCAGCAAACTATAGGCCATGGTGCAAAATCAGAATGCATCCTATGAAGGGGTGCAGCACAGGAATAATATCCTTGATAAATAGAAATGATAAGCAATTTGAATTTCAGGATCCATAAGGTTTTAGTGGTATGCAGTATAGTCACTTCAGAAGACTTAGATTGTGACAGAGATCATGTGACTTCCAAGATAGAAGACTTAATCTCTGGCCCTTGACAAAATGAAAGGTGGCAGACCTTTTCCTATAGGGGTAGGTACAGAGGTTTGACAACCCATAGGAGTACAGTCACAATTTTGTGCCTATAGAACGTGTGACTTACTGCTGTTAAGGGAGTTATAATAAAGTTATCTGATAAACTCCCAAACAGTAGCATTAAAAGAGACTCTGCTTTCTGTATTTAAAAAAAAATGAAAAGCAGAGATGGATGGCAGACACAATTCCTGGCAATATAAAATAATAAGAACAGAACTCTTCAGAGCTAAAGGATAGAAGGAAATGGGGAGGGGGGGGGACTTTGTCTGGAGAAGCTTTCAGAAAGAGCCTTCCAGTAGAGGGGCAGGCCTGCAGGAATTTGAATCTGAATGGACACACAAAAAAGATTCTCCTGGGATGTGTGCTGGGTGTTTGAAGAGCATGGATGCCTTTTAAGGGACATAAAAGCTACACAAGGAATACAGGAAATGTTGAATCCATTACTAAAAGAACAAAAACACATCCATATTGTTGGTTATGCATGTGGAAAAATATACTTCAAATTAAATTGTATTTCATTTCTCCATTGCAGATGAAAGATTCCTACCTTATACTGGATGAATATGTGAGTATTTCTAATGAATTATAAAATTACTACTTAAAATAGTTAAGTGGTGGCCAGAGATATAAAAGAACTAAGATGCAAACTAATTATAAAAATAATTAAGTAGTGGTCAGAGACAGTGGCACAGTGAGTTGGGTGTTTGCCTTGCATGTGCACCCCAGTTCTGATCTCTGGCATTTCATTTAGTTCCCTAAGCACTTCCAGGAGTCATTCTTGAGCAGCAGAACGACGAGTAACCCCTGAGGATTACTGAGTGTGTCCCCCCCCCCGCAAAAAAAAGTAGTAATGGTAGCACTGTAGCACTGTCCTCCCGTTGTTCATCAATTTGTTCAAGTGGGCACCAGTAACGTCTCACAACAAATAGACTTATTGTTACTGTTTTTGGCATATCGAATACGCCACAGGGAGCTTGCCAGGCTTTGCCATGCAGGTGGGATACTCTTGGTAGCTTGCCAGGCTTTCCGAGAGGGGTGGAGGAATTGAACCCAGGTCAGCCGCTTGCAAGGCAAATACTCTATCTGCTGTGCTATCGCTAATGGTAGGATTTAATAATCATGGTATAATAACCATATTTGTTTACCTTATCCAGCACATTATATTTATTTTTATTTTTTTGGTTCTGGTTTTTGTGCCACACCCAGCAGTGCTCAGGGCTTACTCATGCCTCTGAGCTCAGGAATCAATATATTTGCATTGTCACTTGCTGACGCTACTGTAAAGCCCCAGGTCAATGTTCCAATTAAGCCCTTAGGAAGCCAACAGTCTGACTCAATCCTTATATTTGCACACTAGCATCCAACCCTCAACCTGTAGAGAGAAACTAAATGGTTCTTCCTTGGTGGCTATGAATGTGTGGATGTCACAGTAAGACAGAATTTAGAGAATGAGTCAGAATCCTCTATTATGCCATCTTCGTCTAGGAGACAGGCAGCCAGGGTATTTTAGGAGGAGGTTATCAGGCTTCCCATTAGCTTTACTAACTGATGGTTCAGGCTTCTCCTTGGCTTTGATGAGGAGTTTCAGTTCCTCTCTAAAAGTCATATATTAGCCTTTTGTTGTTGTTGTTGTTGTTGCTGCCTTGCAAAGGAAAAGGAAAATCCACCCTTTTCAAAAATGGAAAACAATCACTTTTCTCTTTTCCTGCCTCCTTTAGGTTAAGATTCATAAACCTTTGCCAGTACTTTTTTAGCAGAGGACAATAATTCCACTCTAATTTCTATTGTGAAGACATGAGTTCCAGTAAGAACCATGGTTTCATTATGCTTAAACCTAGATTTGAGAAATACTTATTGTGACATTTGGCATTTTGTAATCCTCAAGTTAATGATATTTCACAGAGATTTTATTTTCTTGTTATTGTTCATCTGAGTTTCCTTCATGAAGCATAAATAGAAAGTTTATAACACACAAATGTTCAATATGTGTTTAAGGCACAAAGGAAAATTCAAATAGAATTATTTTTGGAATAAAAATGTTCATGATTATATGGTATTGTAACCAATCTTCCCCAACAAAACCTCTGGTTGCAACACAATTGAAGCACATGGATCCACAACTTTCTCCTTGCACCTAGGAGAAATTAGTGTGTATTGTATTTGTGTATTTTAATTCAAAAATAATAAATGAGAATCAAATAATTCTCGAGATTATTAGAAGGTGTTTGCTGCCATGTTAGCTCATAAAATGTATGAAAATCTATTCCTTCCATTAAGGTATTTAAAAGCCAGGACCCTGGAAAGGGACAATAGCTCAAATGGGAGAGCACATGAGTAACAAACCCTAGATCCTGAGTTTGATCCCTGGTACTGCACATCTCTCAAGCACCGCGTTATGTAGTCACAATGACTCCTGAGCACTGGTGGCTGTGTTTTTAGTGGCCACAGACTACTGCACTGCCTGGCAGAGCAAGCAGGACTACCACTGCATGTGAAGCCTAGAGAAAACAAAACCAAGAAAAACAAAAGCCCAGCCCTTAGCAAAGCATATGACTATTAAACTAATGGGCCAGGAAGATAAAACTGGAATTTAGGTGTTTGCCTTGCATATAACAATCTCAGTTTGATTCACAATGTTTTATTGTCCCTTTTTTCTTTGCTAGCAGAGAGAATAGAACCAGGAATACCTCTGCTCAATCATTGCCGAATATAGCCCAAACAGCCCTCACCCCAGTTCAAACAAACAAAAAAGACAATCTGATATGACTTGTATTTCTTTCTAATCTTACCTTTTTTCTCAAAAGAAGTTGTTACTAATATTTGCTCATGTATATGCATGTACCCATAATTTCCTTCCTGTATCTCTCTACCTCCAGTGTCCTAAATGCACTGTTACCTGCTTCTGTGTTCTTATATTACTCATTCTCCAAAATAAAGCACTGATGTGAATAATTTTGGAAGTCTTTCTGCTTACCACCATCCCCATACTCATACAGATATTACATATCTCCTGTGGTAGATTTATCATGATGTTGATCAAACAATCTAATGTATGTCAATAGCAGAAGTTAAGTAGAGAGATAGGGTGAGATCAGTATTCTTTCAAATTGCAGTTGTCTCAGTTCCCAGCAAATATCTACTTAAACATCAAAAGTGATCTGGGAAGAGCCTGCAAATAAATTATATTTATGCATTCCACTTTCTGTATTGTATTTCCTAGATGCGCTTTCTAAACTGTCAAAATGGACGGAAGGATCCTTCCAAATCCATCCTGGACATTGGAGTAAAAGAAGCCATAAAATTCAGTGGATTTGATGAAAAGATGTTTCTAAAGCGAGGAGGAAAATATGTATGGAGCAAGGCAGAACTGAAACTGGACTGGTGAAGCTGAAAGAGAAACACCTTTAATCTTCTGGAGGGAAAGCCTATTCAAAGAGTGATGTCCTTGTCAATGACAACTCCTGTTGGCATTTCTTAGTCACTCCAAATCTGACTTTATATGGCAAACAGTGTCTGATTATATGCAGTAATTGAACAAACATAGAACTTGGAGGGCTACAATACAAAAATAGGTCAAAAACATTAACTTAACTTATTAGACATTTAAGTGTTTGAGCAGTTTGTCATGGCTTCTATATTGCATTTTGAATTTAATTTTTTTTCAGTTCTTTTATTTGATAAAATCAGTTCTCTTTTGGGCTACCTGAGAAGTCCCATGGAAGAATTACAAAATAGAAGTACAAAATAGCTCCCAGAATTTTTCTTCTGCTAATTGCCATGTCTTTTTCTTTTCTGCTTTTGTACTACTGCAATACTGTATGTATATGTGTGTATATCATATATCTTAATTTTGTTTTGTATTTTGGGGCCACATCTGGTGATGCTTAGTGGTTTCTCCTGGCAGTGCTTGTGAGACCATATAGAATGTTGAGGATCAGACCCAGGATGGCTACATGGAAGGCTGTGTTCTTATCCACTGTACTATCTCTCTGGCCCCCGACTACTACAATAATTTTTAACCATTAATTCAGAAGTAGTCAACAAATGTTTAGAAGAATAAGAAATAATAATCTTACTGTGAGTAACAAGAAGAGACAATTCCTCTACTGGGATTCTCACCTGGTCCCTGCTCACACCAATGAATTCAGAAATGCCAACTATTTCCAAAATTCCATTCCCCTCCCAGATTCTTAGCAAACCTAAGCTATGCTTCCCATTTAACAACAAAGTTGACATGCAATTTTTTGGGGTCATACTGTGACACTGTTACGCAGGCTCTGTCAATTTATTTAGCACAAAAATGTGTTTCTTTGAGTTTCTCTGTAAAGTGTCCGCTTGCTGGATTCGCATAAGCTGGGATTTTCATGTTTGAAAAAGGACCAGAATTTGTGTTTAGAAAATACTGAGTGTTGAAGAGTAGTTTATCTTAAAATTGAAATTTCCACAAAAGAAATTGTAGCACAACATATTATGTCTTAGTAACTCTGAATATCTTGAAATAAGGGTATCTGCAAAATAGTACAACACCAGGTCATCTGTGTGCTTTTCTAGCACTAAGAAATAACTTTAGGGAATTGTCACTAAAAATGGATCAGAAACAAAATCCTCTCCCTGTGGACTTGTCACAAGTAGTTTGTTTTTAACCTAGAAAGCATCTCATTGTCAGGAAAATTGTAATTTCCTATTATTGTTATTTCAAAAAAGCAAAATTTATGGAGAAGTTTTCATGTATTTGACCTTTATCTTACTCGCACTGCAATCCCAGTGTCTGTCACTAGATGGCGTTTAAATGTTGCCTGATTTCTGATTCTGTTCCAAGCGGCAGCAATTTCGTTTTATAATATATTTTCAATATTTGGTGATTTTAAAAGATTTGGGTTTTTGTGATTTTTTTCTCAGAAAAGATTTTACTTCTCAAAGTTTTATGTCACCATTAGAAATGCTCAGGGGTTATTTCTGGCAGTGCTTGGGGGACCATATAGGATTCTGTATCATTTCCCTTGATGGGTTTTTGAGAACATTTTAAGTGATTATAGTATTCATATAAGTATAAATGTAAATCAGATTCATTATTTTTAATTAGCATGAGTACATTCTGCTGATCTTTAGATTGCCCGACAAGAATAAGCTCAATGAAGAAAGATCAATTATATAAAAGTGCTGCATACTGTTTGCTCAACCACTGTTATTCCAAGAAAATCTAATTTCTGAACAAAGAGTCTCTGACTTCAAATGAATTTTTCTCCAGCTGAGAAAAACCATTTCTGTTTCCCCAAAGGGAAATATGGAAGAGAACAAAAACTTGAGATATAAGCTACTTACTTTGTTTGTTTGTTTGGGGCCACACTGGAAGTGCTCAAGGGCTATTCCCAGCAGTTGGGGACCAGGCAGTGACAGGAATTGAACCTGGACCCCCTGCCTGTGCACTATGGGTTTAGCACAATGAGCTATTTCTCTGGCCTGACATAAGCTATTTTAAATATATTTTATACTTGTATAAAATGCAATTCTATACTCCCCCCTCTTCCTTATACACTGTCAAGATACTCAAAATCTTAATATGTAAAATATTTTTCAAAATTTATTTTCCTAAGAGTTAAAGTAGGACTTTTAGCACTAGTGTAAATTAAACTTGGATAATATTAGTTATAAGTATGAGTGTCCATTTTATCAAATATTTTCCTTTTCATTAGGAAGATGCACATTCATTAAACTGAGGTCTCTCATTTTAAGGTAAAAGGTAATGATGCTTTAATTATTGCTTAAGTTTGTATTTTAGCAATAATAATATTTCATCTTCAGAGATTAGAAAGGTTAAACTTACATAGATTACATGTTTGTGTGTGAATCATCTACTGCTTAATGATACATAATGTGATAGTTGTTTTCTTTTAAGTTTGAGGTGGGTAAAGGTTATTGTTCTGAACTATCTGAAATGAGAGCCTTTTTCTCTCTCTGTCCGGAGTTTGAAATTTATAATGGTTGATGAATAAAGAATAATGATACCAAAACAAGAACACAAAGTATGATAAGAATTCATCTCATCCCACCTTTATTCAGGAAGATATATTTAATTGGTTGTGATTCCAAGGAAATTAATTATTTTGTAAAATTTTAAGACTTTTTATTGACTGTGTGTAAAGGAAGTTTCTGAAGAACTGTGTACACTTTTTTAAAAATATGTGATGCTCTTGAGCATTGATGTGATAAACTATTGTAAGATGTTGCAATATATTAAAATGGTTTTTTTTTGTATGCTCCTCCTCTGACAGTGGGTTAATGTACTGGAGTCTCTCCTGAGTGTGTATTTAAAGTGATTGCGTGCTTTTACAAATTGCCAAAGGCAAAGGCAAGTACACTTTAAAAATCAACAAGGTTATCAATAATTCATCAACATGTTTCAGAAAATTCAGGGCAATATGATAGAGTGCAATGAGTCACAAGGGAAAATACTCTGTGTTTTCTAACACAAAATCCAGACACTTATTAGACACTTATTTCTCAAACAAGAGTCCAATGTTCAAAACTAGATCAGGTCAGAGTCAAGGTGAAAGAGTTGATGGGATTAAGCTCTTGCTTGCTTGCTTGTGACTCTGCTTCATTTTCTTGCACCGTGTAATTCCCAGAGCGTTGCTGGGAGCAAGCTCTGAGCCCAGAGCAGGGAGGTTATGCTCAGCACATGACATAGAATGTGGATCACTGTCACCCCCATCCCTTCTGAAAAAAAAAATAATAATTCCACTCACTGGGAACAGAGATAGTGCCTCCCTCCACACAGTTAACTCAGAAACACCACCCTTCTGGATGTAATCTGGCCAGCTGTTTAAGGGCAGATATCTGGCATGGCAGAATACCAAACATGAGTAGAACAAGAACCAGCACTCTAATAGAAGATATTCCATCCCACCCACCTCAGATGTTTTAAACTCAGCCTACATTTGTTCTATAAGCTTTGGAGCATCTGCTATGTTCACTTACTCAAAATCAAGTTCCCTGGTTTTGTAGTCCCTGTGTCCACCTCATTCCCTCTAGATTCCATTTCTCCTTCAAAACATGCAGCACTATCTCAGTTGCTCCATGCACTTCATCTCCCTTAAAAAGCACATGTTTCTTCAAAAGGTGATGGTGGCTTCATTATCTTCCTTATGGGGTGCAAGGGCTCCAGCCCAGTAGAAAAAAGCCAGAATCAGGGACTCTAAGACGATAAAAGAGACTCAATGGGGCAATGCCACTAGGGTGGACCATTGACTACCACAGCTGGAATGTGCAACTCAAGTCTTCTCTGAAAAGAGCCCTATTCAGTTATGGGAAGTTACATCGGAAACCCTTAGTGTAAGTCCACTTCTATGCCATTAAGATGAACAGGAAAAACAAAAGATTTAAAGATTATAAGAATACTAAAAATTTGGAGTATATTTGAAAAACAGAATGAAGACTAAGGAAAATTTAAATTATCTAGAGTTGTATCGCCCAGACACAGCGGTTATCACTGCTATCACCAGATATAATTGTATCACTGCTAGTTTCTATCCTATCTTTCTGCTTTTATTATATCATTAATAGAGTTGCATTACTACTTAATTTTGTTTACCACATAGTATCTTCTGGAGACTTTTAAACCAATTACATTCATAAACTTTAATGAGAACAACCAGTTCTTTTTTTTTATTGAATCACCATGAGATACACAGTTACAGAGCTGTTCATGGTCATGTTTTAATCAAACAATTTTCTCACACCCTCCACCAGTGTACATTTTCCACCACCTCTGTCCCCAGTTTCCCTCTGGCCACCACTCACCCCCAGCCCCTTTAAGGCAGGCACTTTTCTTCTTCCTCTCTCTCTCTGTTTCTTTCTTTCTCTCTCTTTCTCACTCTCTCTCTTTCTCTCTGTCTCTCTCTCTCTGTCTTTCTCTCTCCTTTGGGGTCTGTCTCTCTCTCTCCATTTGGGGTTTGCAATACAGATACTGAGAGGTTGTAATCGTTGTTCCTTTATCTGTTTCAGGACACAGTTCTTATCCAGAGTGATCATTTCCAGCTATCTTTGTCATAGTAGTCCCTTCTCTCTCTCAACTGCCTTCATCTTCAGCTTCAAATCGTGGATCAATCATTTTGGCCCTTGTTTCTACTGTCCTTGGGTATTAGTTTCATAATTTTTTTTTCATATTACACAAATGTGTAATCATTCTATGCCTGTCCCTCTCCTTCTGACTCAGTTCACTCAGCATGATACTTTCCATGTCCATCCATTTATGTGAACTTCATAACTTCATTTTTTCAACAACTGCATACTATTCCATTGTGGAGATGTACCATAGTTTCTTTAACCATCTTCTGTTCTTCTGCTCACGGGTTATTTCCAGAGTCTGGCTATTGTGAATAGAACTGCAGCAAACATAGAAGTGTAATTCACATTTCTGATGTGTTTTTCGGCCCCTGGGGATATATTTTCAGGAGTGGTATTGCTGAGCCATCTGGAAGTTCAATTTCTAGTGTTTTTTTTTTTTTGAGTAATGTCCATATTGTTTTTCAAAAAGACTGGACCAGTTGGCATCCCCAACAATGCAGGAGAGCTTTTTTTCTCCCTATATCCTTGCGATCACTGTTTGCTCTTGTTCTTTTTGATGTATGCTCTGTCATGTAAGAGGATATCTCATTATTGTTTTGATTTGCATTTTCCTAACTAGTGATGTAGAGCAGTTTTACTTGTCTTTTGGCCATTTGTATTTCTTCTTTGAGGAAGTTTCTGTTTATTTCTTCTCTCCATTTTTGATGGCTTTGGAGGTTTTTTTGCTTGCAAAGTTCTACCACTGCCTTATAAATCTTGGATATTAACCCCTTGTCAGATGGATATTGGGTAAATAATTTTCACCATCTGTGGGATATCTTTTACCTTGGTCACCATTTCTTTTGAGGTGCAGAAGCTTCTTAGTTTAATGTAATCCTATTTGTTTAACTTTGCTTCCATTTGCTTGGACGGTGGTATTTCATCCTTGAGGATGCATTTAGCTTCAATGTTATAGACGGTTCTGCTCACATTTAATGACATGTGCCTTATGGATTAAGGTCTAATATCAAGATCTTTAATCCATATTGATCAGATATTTGTGCCTGGTTAGAAACAGATCTGAGGGGTTTTTTTGTTTTGGTTTGGTTTTTTTTGCATGTAGCTGTCCAGTTTTCCTTACTCCACTTCAAATTTCATGCTCCTTTACCAAAGATCAGGTGATTATCCACTTGGGGGTTGGTGAAAGAATATTCAACTCTATTCCACTGATCTCCAAGTTGGTCTTTAGTCCAATACCATGCCAACAGCCAGTTCTTAACAATTTACACGAATAAGCAAGAAAAGATTTTTTTAAAAGATTAATTGGAAAAGTGTTACTGGATTTGGTTCTTGAGTTCTTTACATTCTCATATGAGTGTGGATGTATCTCATGTTCTAAGAATATATAGAAAAATACATATATTAATTTTTAAAATAAACTTTATGGGTGAGCTCATTTGTGGAAGATCCAAAAACCTTATGCAAAACAGTTATTTTTCAACTTCAACCTAAAACCAGGTGGTCTTCTTGATTCTGATAATGAGGCAGTAGAAAAAAAAAAGTTCCAATGACCCTCCCTGGATTTAATTTATTTATATAACATTTCACAGAACTCAAATAGTAAACATTTTACTTACTAGATCACAAGTTTATTTTTAAATAAAGAAGGCCTTTGATTCTGTTGAGACGAAAGCGGTCATTGAAGCCCTAGCCAATCAGGGCATTCAAGCCCAATACATCAGGATCCTCCGTGAGCTGTATTGAGGATTCACTACCAGGATCTCACCATTCTACAAAGAAGTGATCGTTGATGTCAAGAGAGGGGTGCGGCAGGGTGATACCATTTCACCGAAACTCTTCAGTGCCACCCTCGAGAACATCATGCGACGACTGGAATGGGAAGGAATGGGAGTGAAGATAGATGGTCGGCAATTACACCACCTCCGCTTTGCTGATGACATTGTTTTAATAACACCAAACATCAGCCAAGCGGCACAAATGCTGGCCGACTTTGACCGTGAGTGTGGAAAGGTAGGACTACAGCTGAATCTTACGAAGACAATGTTTATGAGAAACAGCCTCGTTCCTGACGCCCCATTCGCTCTCAATGGAACGACCATCTCTGAATGCAACAGCTATGTGTACCTAGGTAGAGAGGTCAACATGACAAATGACCTGGCACCCGAGCTGCGCAGGAGGAAGAGAGCGGCTTGGAACGCATTCAAGAGCGTCGAAGAAATAGCTAAGAGGACGAAGAACCTCCGGCTCCGGGCACATCTCTTTGATTCCACTGTTCTTCCTGCATTAACATATGCCTCAGAGACCTGGGCCCTACGCAAACAAGATGAGAAGGCTATTCAGGTCTCCCAAAGAAGAATAGAAAGAGCTATGCTTGGAATATCACGTTTCACTCAAATGAGAGAACGAATCCGGAGTTCTGACATCTGTCGATGATCAAGGATCAGGGACGCTTTCTCATTTGCCAAGGTGTCAAAAATCAGATGGGCTGGTCACGTAATGAGATTTTTTTTTAAATTTTTATTTATTTATTTTTTTACCGTTGTAGATTTACAATTTTTTTTGTGCTTGGGTTTCAATTATACAATGATCAGATACCCATCCCTCCACCAGTGCCCGTTTTTCACCACCATGGATAATATCCCTCCCACCCGCATCCCCCCATCCCCCCCTGCCTCTGTGGCAGGACAATCCCCTGTGTTCTCTCTCTCCGTTTGGGTGTTGTGGTCTGCAAAAGAGGCATTGAGTGGCAAACATGTTCAGTCCATAGTCTACTTTCGACATGCATCTCCCCTCCTGGGAGGATCCTCCAAACATCCTTTATTTGGTGCTCCCTTCTCTATCTGAACTGCCCTTTCCTCTAGGATACCCGGCTGGCCTCTAAGTTATGGAGTAATCCTCCTGGTGCTGATCTCAGCTATTCTTGGGTATTAATCTCATACTTTGTTACTTTATATCCCCCAGATGAATGCAATCTTTCTATGTCTATCCCTCTCTTTCTGACTCATTTCGCTTAGCATGATACTTTCCATATTGTACCACTTGTATGTAAGTTTCATGACTTCATCTTTTCTAACAGCTACATAGTACTCCATTGTGTAGATGTACCAAAGTTTCTTTAACCAGTCATCTGTTCTTGGGCATTCAGGTTTCTTCCAGTTTCTGGCTATTGTAAAGAGTGCTGCAATGAA